AAGTTTGGACCTCTTAAGTTAATTTTACTTTTCGTATACATATACTCACGATGAATTATCACCTACTGTGACGAATTGTGCTTACGATGAATTATCGCTTCGATTTATCTGCGCGACGAATTGATGTAGTATCCTCATAATGTATTGCAGAAAAGGAAAGAGTGTCACGCTGGGTATCTACGCAACCGTTAGGGCATGAAACTTTTAATATATTCATGAAATTTCATAAATTATTGAGTTGTCATTTCAGATGCCAACTATATTGAGTATTATCTTTAACATCTTAAGTAAAATAAAAATAAAAAATATTTGAAATCTTAAAAAAATTATTTTGCATGAAAATATCTTTGGATAAATGAGATTTAGAAATGCATGGAGAAAAAAAAATTTCAACTTGTTAAAATAATGCCAGATATATGGTGAAATACGAAACAAATGAAAACAAACTTTAGAAATTAGACATTAAAATTCAGAAATTGACTTAAGGAATTAGGACCATATTTTCAAGATAGTGATTTCATGATTTATTTTAAGGAATGCGAATCCAAATTTGGTGAAAAAAGGTATGTTTATTAAGAAAAAAAGTTCTTCGTGCTAGTTTCATAACTTAAAATATCTTCTGTATAGATTAAGTTAGTACTTGAAAATAATAATATTACATCTTAGTATGTGAAAAAATTGTCATACTCTTACCGTATGCTTAATTACACAGCTGTTGCGTTTTTCCTTTCGAAGATTACATATGAAAAACTACATATATTTTTTAAATTTTTACAAGCATGAACTTGAAACTGCATTGATTGACTTAATCTTTTAATGCAAGGCAATACTGTTGGTACCATGTCAAAAGCATGAAACAGCCTATTGCCAAGGTGGCAGATCCCTTGGTACTAGAAATTTTACCGTTTTTTGCGGTAGTTTGCCATAGGACTCCGATCACTCACATTAATTTGAAAGTTTCTCATCTGATTGAGGTAAAAGAGCTCATTTTATAACCACCGTTGAACAGCGGATCCAATTTTTGGTTTTACGACTACTAATGTTCAACTCCGTAGCCATGTAATTTTGAACCCAATCCAGAAGACAAGGGAACTCCTAGAAATTTTCCTTCGTAGAGGACTTTTCGATGGAATCAACCCGCATTTGAGTTACATGGAGAGGAAAATCACAAGCACCTCCTACGGTTAGCCTGAAAGCAAAGGGACTCTAACCCATGATCCGTCTACGACTGAGGATCTTTCACATCAGCAATGTGGTCGGTGTAAGCCGGATGCGGATTCATATCAACCAGTCATTGCAGGGATTTGAACCAGGTTCACCTCATTCGAAGGTGAACGCTCAATTCCCTGAGCCACCGGGGCTCTTCATTGACAAATTCAGGGGTGATTGTAAGCCCAAGTCAATATTACGGAAAATTTCCTGAGTTGAAAAAAATAACAGTTTAAATTGAAAAATCAGAAAAAAATTTAAACAAGGTTTTTTTCCTTTTCCTCAATATTTCTTAGTTTACTTAAAATATTTTTAAAATTGTACACATACCTATACCATTTACACATACCTATGATGATCTGGAGAAGTAATTAAAATTTACAAATATGTCCTTCTTTCTTGAGTTTATGATTATAACAACTATTTACCGTCATTCGGGGCTACATTGTGCAGCAGGGGCTACTTTGTGCAAATTCGAATTTGGCATTTTTCAAGTGCTGCTATTCAGTATTATGTTTTTTTTCACGTTAAAAATGTGTGGAATTTGAAGATAGAAGTCTCCTCTATTACTACAAACATTTTTTCGAATTTTAAAACAATCTCAGAGTGTGTTTCGTTCATCCAATGTCAACAACTTTCCGAGGACGTCGGATGTCGAAAAGTGTGCGTGGAAACTTTAGCTGTAAAATGCAAAGACGTTGATAAAACAATTGCCGTAAGTGCAAAATTTTTTATTTATATATTAATAAACAATTATATCATGTTAGCGTTAAAAAAATTTGAAAATTAATAACAAATAACGGAAAATGAAAAAAAATTCACTTTGGGCTACTTTGTGCAAAGTTTCATTCGTTTTTTTTTTTTTTACGACAGAAAAATGGTCAGACGTTATAAAAAAATATCTGGAATGAGAAACTACCGTGATTATACTTTAGAAAAACTGCAACAATGTTTGCAAGCAGTTGCTGGTGGTATGTCGATTGCAGAAGCTTCTCGGAAGTACAAAATCCACAGAAATACTATCTCTAATAAAATTCACAAGAAACACGTGAAACTTCCTGGTAAACTATTATTTTTCTTCTACAAAGATTTTTCTAATGAATTAATCAAACGATTTAACACATAAAAATATATTTTATAGGACATCAGGTGATTTTGACAGAAACTGAAGAGCAAGTTCTGTCATGTTCATTCAAGGATGTTATGTTCAAATTTAACAATATTATAAATGTTAATGAATATGTAATAATTATTATTTTTAAAATTTCATCCATTTCAATGTTTAAAAATGTATATGGTTTCCTTTTGTTTAAACTCAAATGTTTTGAAATAAACATTCTTTTCAAGAAAAAATTCTTCAAAAAAAATGGTTTTTTTAAAGCTGAAAATTATTTTCAAACTAATATCTTTACAGATCTTGATGTTTTTGTCTTTAAAAATGTCAACAATTAACTTTTTTAAAACTTTTATATCAATATTTTACTAAAAACATGATTATTAAACTGAATTCCTAGCACTGCACAAAGTAGCCCCATTTGGGGGCTACTTTGTGCAAGGTATGTTTTGACTTATTATTTGTAAATAATGTATACAAATAATGCATTTATTGATCAAATTCACTCGTTTGAGTCTAGTTATGAATATAATATCGATAAATTTTACTAAAGTTTGAATTAAGATAGTTTTTTTACATGTCAAAGTTCAAAAACTGCGAAATCCTGCACAAAGTAGCCCCGAATGACGGTACTGATAAAAAATGAATATTACTCATGAATATCTCCAATTTGAATTAGTGTAATAATGGTTATTTTTTTTCCTACCTCCTGTTTAATAATTTTGACTTAAGAATTTGAATTTATATTTGCATGAATATAAGCTTATAAAGTATCTTTCCGGCTCGCCCTTACAAACAAATAAAATAAACTGTGTTTTTAAGTTCCACCTTTGAAAATTTGATTTTCGGAAACTTCTGTGACCAATGATTTTTTTAAACGTCTGGACCTTCGATCTACGGAAACTTCCGGATCACTGTTAGCAAAAATTCCGGAAATCAGGATTTTTTCCAGAGCACAATCAGCCCTGCAAATTTCATACTTTAAGCACTTGTAATTTTAGTTAGTTACGTTTTTCTGCTAATACTATTCACCTTTACTGATAATGCCCACCACTGAAATTTAGCAAAATCTACAAGTGAATAAACATTTCTAGAGAACGCATTAAATAAATGAAAAATACCAAAACTTTAGATGACCAATTGGCCCATTTTTTATTCTATGAATTAGAATTTAAAAAAATTTGCTGTACCAAACATTCTTAACCTATTCGGCGCTTTTTGTTCTGTATCTCTTTAAGTAAATGAAAAATATTTGTCGTTGAAATTCAGATTTTTAAGAAATAAAGTCAATGAAGATGCTTCATTTGACAAATGAGTAAACCTTAAAATTATAAAAATAAATTTATTAAAATTGTGCATTCATTTTCCAATTACATAAATCTGTAACTGTTAAAACTGTGCAAAGAGCACAGACATATCAAAAAACGAGTTTTTGAGCAATAAAATATCAAAATACGTATAAATAGATTAAAAAAACAATTTGTACACACATCACAAATATAATATTACATTATATTATAATGGAAATAAAATGACACAAGATGATTAATGCTCCAGTACTGCCATTGAAATACTCCAGTACTAAATTAGATTGACACCTTACATTAGATGTCTAAAAACTCCTATTAGCCATAAGAGTTTCAATTAAATAAAAGATTTATTATAAACAAATAAAAAAGGACAATAAATGCTATAAGTAAATAAAGTTAAAGGCAATTAAAATTAAGAGCAAATACTTGTAAAATGCATAATTTAAACAAAACCGTGTTACTCCAGAAGCTTATTAGGCTATTACAAGGGTCTGTCTAAGTTTTTATGAGAGGTACCTATTTTGTGAAAATGTAAGCATAATTTGTGAAAATTAAAAATTATACTAAAAAATCAACCCAAAAATATGGTAAAGTAAGAAAATATTTTCAAAAATTGTCCCTACAAATAAAATTAATTTATGACTGGTAAATTTTTATATATTTTTCCACATATATTTAAAAATAATTTTGCTATTGTAAAATTTTGGGCTTAAAATTGCATGAAAATTTAAAAATCCATAAAAATCACTGTCCATAGTTAAATTTTAACTTGAATTTAATAAAAACATGCATTTAACAGTACTAGAAGTTACTTTCATTATGAGAACATTTTCGACTATAGGTCAGACAGAAAAAAGTTTCACAGAGAAAAAAAATTTTCATAAAAAATAAAGGTTTGTTAGAATAAATTTACAATAGTGTTTAAGCTAATTTTCGAATGTTTAGAATAAACTTCGAAATTTTGACTTCCTGTATAGTTTACAGAGGGAGAGCCTCGTTGTTTCATTTAAAAAAAAAACCTCGCTTTGGTATGGCGTAAGCGACCAGTTAGGTTTACCATATTGCACTATCTGACCATACACGTGCTAACTTTTAGCAAAAGACAGCTGGCAGAAAAGCTCCTCTTTTCTGTAGATTGCAACGAGAATGGGGTTTGCGTGAGAACTTGTTTTTTTTTTTAAAAAGTATTTTGTGAAACTACCGTTTTTCCTTAAGAAGGTACCGCTAATCGGCAGTAAATTTATCCTAGACAGACCCTTGCATTATCTGCTAAAATACAAGGTTACTAAAATGCGAGATACATTAAACTGTGTATTATCTCATGAAAATAACGCATATTTAAAATTATCTCCTTTTTCTTTCTTGCCTGAAAATTGCTTGATTTCTATATGTTGTTATTTTCAGAGCTCTGAATATCAATAGCAAAACTGATATTGTCCCAATGACATATACTTTTGAAAAATAAATTATTTTTCCTTCTCTCAATTCTAAAATACAAATTTATATTTCTTTATTTAGCTAAGTGTTGCTAAATTGCTACCTTATGTAATTAAAAGCAAATAAAAACTTGTTGATGCTGGGTTCAATGTTTTAATATATTTCATTCAATAGCTTTATAAATTTGTAAACTAAGCGATAAAAAAATTTTCCAAAAATTTTGTTGTAGATTAAAAAAGATTACATCACATTTAAACAGGATGCTATGAGTTGAAGCTCTAATAACGGTAAAATTTCCTATTTACCACTCTGAACACATCTTTAAAAACTATTTTTTATCCGCTTTATCAAAAAATGGCAGTAATAGTTCAACTGAGATTTCAAAATTCTGATCCCCTAATATTAAATTCATATTAAGTCCACACTATTTTTCAAAATATTCTATAAAATTAAACGTTTTGTTTTCATTAATTATTGCTAAGACCAATGTCCAATTGATATCTCTTCTCTATAGCTCAAATTCTAAAGGAACAACAATTGAATATAAAAACATATACAATAGTGTTTTATAAAAAAACATACACAATTTAAAAATACTCACAATAAAATTAAAGAAAGGAAAATACTCTTTGGTAAAAAAAAAACAAAAAACATTCATAATACTGTTAAGAATTCAATAAGAGCAATTATGGCACTTATTCAGATGAACAATGTGATCATACAACCCTATTTCTAGCTGAGGGAAACAGAAATACATTTGGCCATTGTTTACAAGTAACAATGTCATAAAAATGTCGGTAGTAAACATACATTAGCAATACACCAATAAAAAAACTGAGAAACGTAACACACAGAGCTACAACACTGTACCAAACATAGCTACAATATATATACCACAGCACGATCAGAACAGAATTTTCTAAAAATATCACAGAATAAAAGAAAATATATAAGTATTGAGATGGCATAGTGGTTTTCTCAGAGTCGTCCACTATTCTGAGCTCCATGAAGCATAATAAATACATGAAGCCCACCAAAAGCCCTTTTAAGTACTTGTAACAGTTTTTGCAGAAACCTGAAAACGTGCAGCAGGGGATAGAAGGAGTTAAGGCACTGACAGCCCACACACTCATGATGACCCAGTGGAATAGGCAAAGTATGACGAATCCCAACGTGAATTTCACCATGAAAAGAGAAAACGATACCACTCTGGAAATATTGGTAAAGAAGTACCACATGAAAGAGAAGAACAGGCCACTCCAACTAGTATTGAAATTCTTGTGAGTGTGCATGCACAGCGTCAATAGGCGTGTCAAATTCAAAAAAGAGACTATCACCGATATCACCAACATCTGGCTTGTGTCAGGCGTCAGAACACCATCTCCTTCAATAAGAATATAAAGTTGGATGATTAGCTGAGGGAGACATTGAAGCATGGCCTCTACCATGAATAAATAGGGTAGGTATGGCAATTCAATGTACTTTCCACTATTGTGATCGTAATCTTTACGTTTCTGGTTCGGGCAAAACACGACCCACAAATATTCCAACTCGTGCAGGAAAATGTACCCCAAATACCTGGCAAGAACACCAAACTGAGACAAATGTAGTAATGCAACAGCGACACTGACTACATAGGACTCAGACTGGTCCCAAATGGAACGTTTGACAATCATCTTGTTTATCGATAAGTGGTAGCTTATGCAGTTCAAAATGACCGTAGGAATGATGGTGAAGGCTGTTACAAGAGAAAACCAAAGCATGTCTCCATGTAGGAAGAGAAAATAGCACACCATCGCATCTGATACCAGATTGCCAACATAAAACAGAAAGCATGAAACAATACCAAACAGCCTGCCAACAGTGAAACTACCTGGATCGATAAGATCTCCACAACAGAGGAATAATTTTAAAGGATAACTGCTTGTTTTATTTTCAGAAAGTTCCACTGAAAATTTATCTTCATTCCAGTGCCTAGCTGGACTCGATTCTTCGCTGAGAGGTGTAATAATGTCGTCTGGTTCGGCAATCGTTTTGTTGCCATCTGTAATGAAATGAGGACGTTCGGCATTTTTCTTCTTCTGCTTCACCTCGGGTAAGTCCTGGTGAATGATGACCTTGATTTTCCCATTGACTTCTTGATCACTGTCATCTAAATCTTTGAGGTTACTCTGCAATGATGAGCCATTATGATTTTGACTAGTCATATTGATCTAAATTAGAACAGAAAAAAAAATCTTTAACTACATACAGGTATAACAGTAACTATGTGTAAAATAATATCACTGATTGCAGAATCATTTATTTATTTTATAACAGTCATTAAACAACTTATCCACAAAACAGTATTTCACTTTCAAACTTGGTTACTTTTTTTAAACGCAACTTAAAAGAAGGAATTCACTGAATAACGTCAGGGTTGGTTTTTACTTATGTAATATGATCAAATTTAATGAAATATTACTTAGATGCACCTCGCATAATTATTCCGTTAATCAACACTTTAATCTAACAGTTACTCAGCATTAATAAACTACCAGAGGAAACTGATGTTTCCCTCCTTCCTTTTACTAGCTAGAGCAGATGATAATTTCTAAAACTGACTAAGACAATGGTGGCACCAACAGGAGAAAAATGTTCCTTCCTCCTTGAAGTGGTGGAATCCAGCAGCTAAATTGCAGAGACAATGGGATGAGGGTTGTGCAACCCAATTTATGCTATAAAAAAAACATCACTAGGAGTACAGAAAAGTCTCCCAATAATCTCCTTTTCCTGATAATAGTTGGTTTTTTAGTATTTTCAGGTAAAAAAAGGTTGCTGCAATCGCCAAAGGCCGAAATAGTTACAAATAGTAACCCAACAGTATGAGGTTCTCTTTCATATGATCTTTACTGATTCCTTGAATTAAATATTCATATCATACATATACGAAGAAGGTTATACTGTAGGGCAGGGATGGCGAACCAATGGCACGCCACATAATATTTTGGGCACGCCACCGATCACGAAGTTCACTGTGAAGCAAGCACAAAAACAAGCATGAAAAATAAACAATTATTGACAAAAAAACTACAATTAATGCCAAAAAACAATTACCATAAAAAACAAGCTAACAATAAATAACTAGCAAAAAACATTAACAGACCTGCTTAAAATAACATCTTACAACCTCTTTTAAGTTATTTGTCATCTAATCTGCAACAACAGAAGTCACACTGATGTTACTTTAAGTTGAAGAAGTTGAATTACGCGTATAACGGAGACATTGCGAAATTTATTCTTTTTCATAGTAAATAAAGAATTTTGAGTTGATAGTATTTAGTGTTATTATTTTCCCAATAATCACGAAGTCAAAATTGTTTGACGGCACGTCTATGACCAAGTTAAACAATTTTTTAGAAAAAATGGCACGTTGGTGCATAAAGGTTCGCCACCCCTGCTGTAGGGAATCAAAATTTTTGAATCAGTTTATTGCCTAATTTACAAGGGTCTAAAACATTATATAAAATTTGCCATAAAAACAATAAACACACTATGTTCTATTCATAACTTGCTCCTAGAAATTTCACCTCTATAATAAACCTCTGCCAATTTTATTTATTTTCAATACTCTAAAGATTAAAAAACAGAGTTGGCAAAATTTAGGACAGAATGGATTAATCCACGGTTTAATCCATCTTGTTCAAAACTGTCTATTACTCTTTTACTCAAATTATGTCATAAATTTTTAAAAAAAATTTTAAAAATAAAATTTTAATTTTTGGACAAGAAACAAATGAAATTTTTTGTTTTGTTTCATTAAAGAAGTTTATTATTATTGCATTATTTATCCTTATGTGAAAATATAATTTATCAGCATTGAAAGCATATATATTCATATTTAAAAAAGAGATAAGGTATTCACTTTTGTTGTTCAATGAATTATGGAACTTTGAAAGTTATAAATCTCTTCTTGTTTTATTATTTTCTTTTAATAAGTTTAAGCAAATAGTATAAAAAGTATCAAATATTTATTAACATATGTAATTATTATGTGTCACACATATAGAACTTTTACCAATGCTCAAGTTATTGAACACTTAAAGTGTTAAAGACAATTTTAGTCAGTTTAGGACAGTTTAGGATAATTTAAGCCAGTTTAAGACAGTAAAACCCACGTGTCCTGTCCAAACCCAGTTTAGGACGTCTAATACCCCACGCTGTTTAAAAATGCTTGAGCTCTAATTTTTAAAAACTTTCAGAGTATAATCATTTTATTCTTTAGTTTTAATAAATAAAAGGGACATATTTCAACTGATCATTATGATTATAGCCAACTAATTTACAATTTCTAACTTAAGCTAACATTCTAAAGTGAATTTTAAAGTTTTCACACATGTGCAAAAATAAAATTTCCTGTCTCATACAGGAAAAAAGTATATAAATTTCCAGACCATATTTTGCTATGCATGGCAATATTACAATAAACATACACTATTTTCGGTTTAAAAAGGAATGAAACTTATTTTTTGATAGAAATGTAAACTAAAATTCATAAAGCTAAAAGGTTAAGTATAGATTTTATAAAACACAAGTTGTGCTGTTTATCTATAAATATAATTATGAAAAGCATACAAAAATTATAGATAAAAACAATAATTTACATACAAACTAGGAAAATTGTAAAACATAATAAAATATAGTTTTAGAGTCACAATAATCAGCCATATAATAACAATAATCACCTTTATAATAATCTTTCTTATAAATAAGAACCAACATTAATTCTTATGGGAAGTTTTTAAGAACAAATATTATCAGTCTAGTAAATAGTGTCAATGAATTGCAAATATGGTTTTATTTAAGAAAAACTTGTAACAAGAATTTGCAAAACAATGGAAATTTTGTATAATGTCCTAATTACAATAAATCTAAAAAAAAATCTATGGTCTACATCAGAATTTTTGTAAAGAAATAATAGCACTTAATAGATATTATACTTAATTACTTTAAACCTCATTGTTATCTTGCGGGGAATTAATTATCGACTATGTCAACCTTTATCTATCAAAAGGTACTTCATGATGGATTCAAGTTAACATGTCTTATATACTAGTGAATTGGTATTTAATATTTATAGTGGTAGTTACACCACATTCTATTGTTATCTTGAATTCAAAGATTGCTTATTTCTCAGATTTATTGCAAAATTTTTCTTGCTACAGGTTAAAAAAAGTATTATTCCTTCGATTTTTTCCAATATCAAATTCACTGACAATTCTAGATTTCAAAAATGACAGCTAAAGTTTAACAATTGCATTCTGTTACCTAAGATATTTTATAACAGCAAAATATTATATTTACCATGAAAAACTAATGACTAAAGCAAAATAATTTACAAAAACAATTCAAAGTATTCAGTTGACGAATAAATTAGCTCTTAATCCATGCATTTAGAAAAGAGATAGTGATGCTGATTTTTAGCTTTGTTGTTTACTTCTGGTATTTCCATTCCCTATCTACCAAGCCTACCACGGCTATCCATTTCTGTCTAACAATTTCACCTTTACCTCAGATTTTTTGAACTTAATTTAAAGGTTTCAAGCGCGCTTCTAAATTTTCTCTTAAAGATTTATTGCGCGCTTGTACCTGAATTTTGTTTCGGTTCCAAGAACTGTTTCTATCTCTTCCGCTAGAAATATTTATTTTTGTCTTTAATTACGCATTGTTTTATCTTTTTATTTCAAAAACGTTTACAAGTGGTAAGTATATAATGTATAGTTCCATTTTTTTACTACTACTGACTGCTTAAAATATTTCTTTATTTTGTTTTTAAAAAAATATGTTATTGTTTACAATTACTTTTTTAAATTGTAAAGAAACATTGCTAAATTCATATGGGAAAACAACGCAACCCAAAAAGTGCTAACCAGATTTGTGAAATGGAGAAAAATTGTTTTCATTCTGCATTGTTTACTCGTCCAAAATATCCTATTTATATATTTTCAAGGTCAAAGCTAATGTTTTTCCCCTGAGAAAAATGAGGAATTTTTTATGTTATGTAACAAAATATGTTTCTGTACATTCATTGTTCTGTATATTCATTATACAAAATTTAAAATTACAAAATTGAAAACAATATCTAATGTGTTAAAACTATTTTTTCTAGTTAAAGATTGTTGCACCTCAGAAAATCTGTTCCTCTGTAAATAATATTAACTTTATTAATAAAAAGGGGAGATTTCCATAACTTGATTTTAGCAACTTCTGGGCATTGGCCCTTGAGAAACTAAGAAAAAAAAAAATCCCAGAAAGGGATAAACTCAAAAGATATAACTCGTAGCCACCCATGAGCAAACATCTACATATTTTTTTTAAAAAAATTTTGTTTAAAATCTATTTGGCGATTGTAGTTGGCTCGACAGATCAGGACATGGAAATATCCCCATAGAAACTGTTACAGCATATTATATTATCCATGTTTGCCGCTTGATTTCTTGTTCACATGTATGTATGGGGCTACGGGGGAGGCTACGAGTTACACCTTTCGAGTTAGTCCCTTTGTGTGATGTTTTTTTTTAGTTTGTCGAGGGCCACTGCCCGGAAGTTTTCGAGATTTGGGGATTATTCTGCCATACAAGATACAGAAATCTTCCCTGAACTAAATTTTGACATTATTAAATATATCTTTCATGATTTTCCTATTTACTCTAAAATCAGGTTTTCGTTTGAGTGAATTCGCTGTCACCTATTTAAACTCCAACCTGATTAGTTTTCTCATTCTGATTTGTATGTTTCTTTTCTTATATTTTTCCTATATTGATAATCAAAAACCTGTCGCAAACCTTAAAAAAGAAAGAAAAAGAGGTTAAATTCAAACATAAGAGGCAATTTAACTATTTCTATTTAATAATGTAAGTTTTTTAGACCAGAATATATTTAAACCTTATGTATTTTAGTTATTTTTAAACAAATTGTCAATTTTTTTACATCATTTTTGTTGTAAAACACTCTTTATTTTCTGCCACAAATATCAATAATGTTTATGTATTACTTAAGGTATCTTTTTCAGGATCTTTATGGTGAATAAATATAGGTCCGAACTGTATTGACCACTTGAATGATTAGACTTATCATTGAATGTTGTAACAAAATATATTTACAGTTTTACAATGTTTTTAAGAATAATAGGTTGCATAATTTTTTATTTCTTTCAAGTTTATGTTTATAAATCCAAATAAATAAAAAAATGCTTTAAAATATTACTTTGACTGAAAAGGATTTTTGTGTGAATTAAGTTGATTTATTAAAAATGAAGAAGCAAAATAATAATTTTATAAATATATCTTATATATGGATTATTAATTTATTTTTAGTCCTTTAGTTATAGAATGAAAAGAACAAAATTGAACATTTTAATGAGTGTTTTGAAATCTAGTGCTTTTAAAAAAGATAGTTTTAAGTATTTTGTTTTGAATGGAGTTACTTGCTTTATATTAGCTAAATTAAAAAACATATTTGTTCAAATTTATTTTTGAACATTTTTTTTATTGTTAATCTTTCTTGTTTTCAGTTGCGGATCAGTGTTAATGATGCTCTATTGCAATGTCTTTTAAAAAATCTATTGTGAAACCCATAAAAAACTTTGATGACACTTCAGATGATTCAGATACAGGTTTGATTCATTTTATTTTATTTATATTGCAATTAAATTATTTCTATTGAATATGTGACAGTGTTTTCACTACAGAAAGAGAACGCGAGAATCTCACATATTTTTTTCTTTTCTCGCATTAAAAAATTATTAACATGAGAAGTTCGCGCACTCTATCAATTTTAAATGCGCGAATCTCTGGAATTTTGGAAAAAATTTCGTTTTTCACCATTTTGAAGAAAAAAACATGAAAACAGCTACGACAAGTGTTGAGAAAAAAATGAGTCCTTTATCAACTACTTTAAACATAGTTGTTTAAAGTTAGATCTGTTTTTAGTTGTTAATGAATTACCAAACTCCCTCATCGACAATTTACAGCAATTTATAAAAGTTTAAGTCTGTGAAAACTATGCTGGAAGACTTAACAAGAAGTATGAACATGGAAATAACTTCAACGAACTTCACTATTCTAAAACAGAAATAATTGAAAACCCTATGCTGGCAGATGTAGAGGATAGGAAAATGTGAGCACAAATGCTACTAATTTAATTAGTGATTCCGAATAGTTCAGCATCTGTTGCAAGGTAACTTAGCACCCAAAACCGAATTTTAAAAAAATATTGTAACAGGATGGTGGGTGAATATAGGATGGTGGGTTTTTTAAGGTGAGGCTTTATTAAAAATTTAAGGATTTATTACAAATTTTACCCACTAGCGCCACCTGTGTCTAGCTTTATACGATTTTCCATTCATGCCGATGATTAGCATGTTTTAAATATTTATTGCTGTAGTTTTATGATTAGCATGTAAACTTGAAAAATTCCTGAGATATGGGTATATGGATGTCTCGAGAAATATTAATGAAGTGTTACAATGATTATGTTCTGAAAGATTTGCCATAATTGAAAAGCAATTTCCCAAGTCTGGGTATATAAAAAAATTAATAAAGTGTTCTGTGTCTCTTATGCAAAGGTATTTGACAGAGAGGGTAATGTGTATAGTACTAAAAAATATTTTTTGAATGCTTTAAAGGTGCTTATTTTTTGTTGAGAGATTCGGCTACACATCTGTATAAAGGAATCATATTCTTCCTAGAAACTTAAGTCTTGTCTTTATTTATTACATTAATGTAATTATTTGTAGATAAGTTTATTTTTCTTAGATAAGATATCTGAATTGAAATGTTTTTATTTATTTAAATTAAATTTTTGGGAAAAAAAGTTTAAATGAGTGAAATTGCTAATTATAGAAAATCCCATCAATAGTAAAAAGAAATTTTTCAGTGTTGTTAGCATTTATAATATTAAAAATCGAATTTCATGGACAGTAAAGTTCTGCATGACTTGTATAGAGTTTAAAAAAATATTGAAATTTTACACGCAACAGTGTTAGTATCAGTTCATTACAAATTAAAATTATTTTGAATTAGTAACAAAATAATAATCATAACTCATGCAATATTTATACTTTTAAATTCCATAATATATTATGATTTGTTTTTTTATTGCATCCTATAATTACTGTGGTAATTTTCATTCACGGGTAATGTAGGATCGCTACCATTAGCTTACGAAGTTCCAAGTGTAACCTTCATGCAGCTGATTTTTCAGCGTATTTAGCATTCATAATCTTAAAAATCGAAGTTTATGGACATAAAGTTCTGCATGGCGTGTATAGAGAAAAAAAATTGAAGTTTTGCACTTACTTACCAGCATTAGTATCCAGACTGCTTACCAGCATTAGTATCCAGGGTCTGTCCAGACTTTTTGTGAAAGGTCCTGTTTTTGTGAAAAAACTATTCATAATTTGTAAATAAAAAGTAAGCATTAGGTCACATTCTTTCAACCAGGGACCTGCTTTTGTGAAAATAGGGTCTTGTTATTGAAAAAATTGCTAAAAACCTTTTCAAGAGGTTTTTAAATTGTAAATAGATACAAGATTCTACTCAACAATTGCTGCTACCTACTAAATTAGAGATACAACATACAAATATTTGGTACTTAGCCTATACTGCTCAACACAAAATATTCATTTCCGATGAATAATGGAAACAAAATCACTCACATTTTTAATAATTTCAATTGACATATTTTAAATAACACAACTTAGTTATATATCACTTTTAATGTGTTACGCATTAAGTAAACTTACACATTCTTAAATTTATGATGTTTTATTTAAAAAATTGCCAGAAATTAATTTTCCTTTACATAATATTCTATTGATTAATTTTATGAATTAATATAAATTGATCAATTATTTATTTACAAAAAGAATTATGATTTAATATTAATAAGAATGCACACACAATGTTAGTAAAAGTTGAAATATTTTCTTAGAATACTACATTTGGAATTTAAAAGTCTTAATAAATCTTAGTTTGTTTCAAACCGTCTCCCTCCCCCCTGGGAAGGGTTTATTAGATTAACAAAACAATAATGAAGATAAACGAATTTGTGAAGTGTCCGATTTTATGAAAAGATATTTGTGAAGGGTCCGTTAACGGACCCAAATTTCTTCTTAACAGACCCCTGGTGTCAGTTCAAATTAAAATGATTTTGAATTAGTAACATTATAATAATCATAGCTCATGTAATATTCATGCCTTTTGGAATCCACAATATATTATGATTTGTTTTTCTATTGCATCCTGTAATTTCTGTGGTAATCTTCATTCATAGGTAATGTAGAATCGTTACCATTAGCTTACGAAGTTCCGAGTGTAGCCCTTGAAAGTGATGCAGCTGATGAAAATTACAAGAAAGCTGCAGAGACAATTATTACTCACACTAAAGAATCGACTAAAGGAAAGGAAATATCTGCACCTTATGAAGTCCCAAGTTTCCCAATAGAAAAAGTAGAATCTCAAAAAGTAATACAGCGTCAGTTATCTTCAAGGTGAGCGGTTTATTTTTAAATCTATTTGTAGTTGTGTGTAAAATATGCGTTTCTTTTCACTATTTGCAGACTTAGGTCATATTTTAATGCCATGTTAAGTTGTTTCTCCTCTGTTGAGCACAACAACTTTAACTATAAGAATTATGAAGTTAAATGATGTATAATAATAAGAGGTTATTACTGACTATTCATCAGAGATAATTAAAGCTTTTGTCATCAAAACGTGGTTTGAGGTATAAATGGTAGAGGAAAAATAGGTAAAGAGGCAGTAAAAATATTTTTAAAAAAAAGTAAGACTTTAGATATCTCAATAACTGGCATTTGTATGTTTTCATCTGTATAAAATCAAATGCATGGATCATATTAAGTTTTTAATTATTAATGAATCATTAGACTTAATTTTAATACTCCATGAACATGTTAACTAAAGATACACATGATATCAAAAGTTTCAGTTACTTTAAAACAATTAAAACAGGAAGTGATGTTTACTCTGATCAAACATATTTTTCTTTATTTAATAAATAGTTCAATAAGAAGCAATGATAGCATATAATCTTCAGCAAATATAATCTAATTGCTCATGTATAAATAAATGCGCTATATTCAGGAGCATTTTTTATAAATTTAGCCTCAGCAGTTACTCAAGGTCATACTAAGCTTTAAAAATGTACGTAAAAAATATAATATTACATGATTTTGGATTATTATTATTATTGGATTAGCACAATATTTCTATATAGCAGTTTTAAATTTTTTTAAGAGAGAAATTTTAAATAACACATTTCCTTATCGTATTTGGGAAATTAATAATAAGATTGTAGTTTAAGTACTATAAAAATATATTTTTCCATACAATGATTTTAAAAAAAAATTAGTATCTACCTATAAGAATAGTATAAAAAATAATTTGATTTATTATGTCTCATTGATTCTTAAGTTTTCTTTCTTTTTTTTTTTTCATTATTAAATTATTGTATGTTTTTATACAAATTTATTTAAAACCATAAATATTTTAAAGCTGCCAAACATTTTGTGGAACTGATAAGTAAGTATTTCCATCAAACATTGTCAAATGTGTTATTCAAACATGTTCATCAAACATGTTATTTCCATCAAACAATTTCATTCACATCATAATAATTACCATTGTCTATAGTTGTTTAAAAATTTAAAGAATTTTCCTAAATTTCTGCAAGAAAGATGAATTATTATAATACATATTAGTTAATGGTTATTGTCAGGATTCTGATTCCACTCCCAATCATCTGGACTACCCCCGGCATGAGGGGTCAGTGGGTGAGTGACACGGGAAATGTCATTCCCCTGTTCGTGGGGGAGGAAAGAGTTAGAAGAGAAGGACTCTATCGTGAGAAATGAGATTGATTATGGACATGATGCTGATAAAGTGTATAGTTTGTCTACGGTAAGAACTCCCCCCGCCACAAAGTATGAAACCGTCTGCTGCTGTGGAAACAAGAATAGCGCATCTCGGGGAGGGGGGGGTAGCTTTTCGACACTATAGGACTAACACAATGGACCGAAGGTAAAGGTCTCCCTTCCTCTTGCCAACCTGAGCCAAAACCTTATCCTAAACAATGACCCCACACCCCTGTTTGAAATAGTTATACCCCGTTACCAAGGTCACCGTCACGGGTCCAGACGAATGACTGGGGTAGCTCTTACTTTAGACAAACTATAGATGAAGGAGAAAGGAGCAATGAGACTCCAAAAATAAAGGCTGGATTTTGTTATTATTTTATTTATTTGTAAAATTTGAGCACAATAATCCAAAATCTAAAGTAAATAGCATATATGTTATGTCCTCGTCATCATTCTGAGTGTTTCAAAAGACGAACCATAAATAACACCGTTTCACAAGAATGGTTGTCAAAGTTATCATAAAAATAAATTAAATTTAAAATCAAGACAATCTTTTTGAAGACAGAGCAAAAAGATAATTTAGCACACAAATTGTTTTATTTAATTTCATATCTTATTGTACATAAAATTCAGTAGTGGTGTCATAAATATTTTATGCGTTTTTATGTCAAATACCATTTAGTTGCCACTGTATGTAAACAATTTACATGTGTTTCTTGTTAATGTGATATCATTTTAGTCTTTCGTTAATGAAGTAACCTAAAGAGATATTTTTGTATCAGTTTCTATATCAGAATAAACATTAAGTTTTTATGATTTTGAAGCAGTAGCTCACAAAAAATTAAATATTAAATATATACAAAAAAATTTAATTAAAATAAATTAAAAAGAACATTGAAAGAGACCAACTCAAAGGATTTTACTTGAAACCACTGCCCGTCAAAGCTCTGTATACTCTTTTTTTTTTTTTTAAATTTATAATTTTTTTGGCAATTATAATTTTACCAACAGTTACTGAAACAGAAATATACTTCCAGTTTTATAGTTCAGACCATTTTTAAATTGTAATTCAAAAACAACGATTAATGAATGTTTGCTTGCTGAAAGTTTCTTTTTTTTCTGCCAAGTTCCTTGGCCATTGTTGTTATTTTTCTCTGATCAAAACGTGTTCTAGATAAGCAGAGTTGTGTGAAACCTGGATGAATAATTAATAAAACATTGTTTCTTATATCTGGAAACCTTTTAATTCTGATATAAAAATCTGTTTAATGTCGAAAACGTAATAAAATAACTGTATAACAGCTGTGGGGGTCAAGTAGACCGGATGAAGAGTCCCTCAGTGTAATTTCAAAAATGCTTCTTTCTGTTTAACTGGTATATTTTTAAAGAATTTTGAGAATCCATTATTCAAAGAACTATTCCAAAATTTTGTATTAGGGCTCAAGAAGAATTGATTGAGAAGAAAAGTTCAATTCACAGAGCGGTAGATGAAACTGACCAGCCTGTTCCTCTTTATGATAAAGTTTTTGTATCCCACTTCCAACGTGTAACCGTTAGTGGAGAGCACTGTTCTGGAGTTAGTTTTTTCATTTTTTGTACTTTTTACCTTAAAAATATAGAGTATAAGTTATCAACCAGTTTAAATCATTTTTCTAAATCTGTGTTTTTCATGAATGTTACATTTGTTTTTGCTAAATCTTGAAAGCCGTTAATGTGCACATTATGTGTACCGAATCTGCAGATTAACTAAGGTGGTTTATTAAAGGAATCTAATGTGTCCCGGATTTTATTTAATGTGCACAATAACGACTATAGTTCGTTCACCTGGAGTTGGCACTTGACTCCACCTCTTCTGATGCAGAGTTCATTTCAATGCAGGAGTAAGAGGAGAAACGTCTCGACGCTTGAAATTGAGACAATCCTTAATACTTGCCAAACACAAACAGTGAATTATTTTTCAGTCACTTACTTCGCTTTATCATTTGTTATTATATCTTTCGTTACTCTAGCTAATTAAATATATTGCAGAAAAATTTCTCAAAAAGGACAAACTATTCACTCAAAAGAGAGACATATCAAATTTATGAAATATTTAATGTTAAAAAAATGCACATAAAGATTGCAAATTAAATATTTTTGTCGTACAATCGCCAAATAGCAACCTTGTTCAGGATTGTTCACATCCTTCTTCCAAAAATAGTGAAATAGTATCGTCAGATACCACGTGATGAAGGCGGAACCAAGTGCCAACTCCTGGTAAACGAACTATACCACATTGTTTAAGTTTAAAAGCTTATGTCTTTCATTCTATTCATTTGTTGATTGTTTGATTATAACATGATTTCTTACGCGTCAAAACAATAATAAATAAATGGAATTATGTTAATTTCCTTAAGATAATTGTAATTATATTTAAACCATTTGATTCAATGTCTTATAGTTTTTTGATTGATGATTGATTCTATCAACTAATTTGTTGTTTGCTTGCCTTACTTTATTCTTTAGGTATCAAAGAAATGAGTAACACTATGTTACTTTAAACATACGAAAACGTCGCTGTTGTTCCAGTAAAAATGTGTTTCACATTAACAAGTGTCTAGCTATTAATGTACAGATTAGCTTGGTTATTTGCAGTTTAGTTAGGTAATTTAAGAAATGAAATTGCACTTTAACAAATCACCTTTGTTAATCTGCATGTCACCTAGATAATCTGTTAAATGACTGACACTTATTGGAAACTCATATAACATGCATATACAAGATGTCAATTATTATGCATTTTATAACCGCCGGTGAACAGCCGACCCAATTTTTCAAGTTTACGACTACTAATGTTCAACTACATAATTTTGAACCCAATCCAGAAGACAATGAAACTTCTGGGTGAAGTATTAGGAAAAATTGTGTCTTCAGGAAGGACTTTTTGATAGAACTAACCCGCTTTTGCCTTATATGCAGAGGTTAGCTTCGGTTAGCCTGACAGGCAGGGGGACTCTAATCCATGATCCGTCTACTACTGAGGATATTTAACGTCAGCACTGTGGTCGGTGCGAGCTGAATGCGTAATTCATATCGATCAGCCATTGCTGGGATTCGAACTAGGTTCACCTCATTGGAAGGTGAACGCTCTATCCCCTGAGCCATCGTGACCCAGATGACAATTATTGAGTTACCTGGAGAAAAAAAATTTGAACCCCTGATTTAAAATTGGTAGTTGAATGCAGAGGGAACCTAAGGAATTTTTTGCACATGTGCACTTTTATATCCACTATTATTTATTTCTTGATTAAAATGTTGAAATACAGTATTTCTGAACATATATTGCCTTGTCGACAGCCTTTTTCTCCTCATCAATCTTCCAACCTTGGGAATAATTTTTAAGTTAAAATTTACGCAAATAACCCCAAAACCAGGGGCACTGAGATGGTAGGTCATGTGAGGTTGCGATGATCTTTCAAAGAATTTCATTATTCAATAAATTTTGTCTGGCCATTCCGCATATTTAGGAATTTCATTTTCTCTATATTTTTTTTGGAAAACACATGTGAAATCAGTCAATGTAACACCTTTATTAGAGTCCATACAATACTTTATTTCACAATTATGTCTTCCTTTATGAACCGAATACCCTCCTTGCCATTAAAAGCCCGTTTTTCTATGACTGGTCTTGAAACTCCTATTTCCAAATACAAACCAGCCAGTTTCATCTGAAATTGAGAGATTCTTCTTCATCTTTGTCAGCGCAACAGCCCCTTTCAAGCCTTGCAGCTGACATGCCAGCGCCTCCTATCCATGCAAACTCCTTGCCAATTTCCAGGTCATTTTCGTTGTCTTTGAGCCATCTAGTAGGGGCTCTGCCTCTAGGACGTGACCCCCTCAGGGTTCTTAAAGGTGATGATTTTCAGGGCTTCTCCATAGGTGGCCCAGCCATCTCAGCCTATTACTGCAAATTATTTGTGTAATTTGGGGCTGCTTATAGAGTTGGTAGAGCTCGAAGTTATATCTGGTTCGCCATCATCCCCTCTCTTGAATTGCGCCAAAGATGAGAGATTGGATTATAAATTGAGAAATTAGACACCAATTAATAGCTCTTCTTTAAATGCCCCTTTTCGCCCTTTTATGGGAAAAAAAACTTCAAAAAGTTTAAATTGAATACAGTTTGGTTAGTAATATATGCAAATGTTGCACAAAGTTAAACAAACATTTTCTAAAAATATAAAAATTCATTACTTCTATAATTAAAAGTGTAAACCAGACAAAGTTGATTATTTAAGCTGCGGGATTTCTTTTGTTGTTATCTCTCTGTGTTAAAAAAAAAAAGCAGACTATGTCACCTTTGTAGCACCTTAATGAAAGAACACTAAAGCTATAAAAAAGGCAAAATTTTTAACATTATTCTTTATACTGTTATGTTTTATACAAATATCACCATCCATAACATGCCTATAGTTTATACTTTTTCTAGAAAATGTTCAGTTTTTCTGTAACAGTTTTTCTTTGTTTATCTATTTACTCTAATAATTTTTTAAATTTCATTCAGGTGCCTTTGGAAGATCTACAGCAGGCCTCTACTTTGATTCAACAGGCTTTGAAACTTCGTCAGAAGTACATGAGTGTTTCTCAACAATCCTTTCCTGCCATTACTGCAAGGTTTTTGAAACCACGCGATGAGCATTGGCAAGGGCAATCTAAAAGCAGACTCACAGTAGATAATAAAGGTAATTCATGGATATTCATTGAATGGATGGGCAAAATACTAAATCTGTGGGGGTATTTATGTAAAGCTTCCTAACCCACCCTATACTATGGATGCACCCCTTTTTCTTTGGGGGTTAGAGCATTTGCTCCTCGATAAATCAAGACTCAACTTCTTAAAATACTTTTAGAGGTATTTCAAAATTGGTCTAAAAAATACTGTGATAACTTATATTAGCCTTAACTCCAATTTGAGGCTGTTTTCCTTAATAAGATGGTCTTATGTAACATACAAATGAATAAATTTTAATGAAACACAATGATTAAGTGGTTTAAAGCTCTGATATGTTGTTGTGAAGGACTGGAATTAGATCCGCAGTGAGGGCTTCAAGCCCACCTAGCCATTAATACATTTAGGTCGCATTAATACATTTTCTGCTATATCATAGTGTTTAATTATAAAATGTGACTCATTGTGTGGGTAGAGAATATTAAGTAAATATGAGAGTTAAAAATAAAAGTTAACCCTTGAATGTGCCATTTATTTCTAGTAAGGGTGCATTAAAATACTTTTTGAATTTAGATGAAGAAATTCATTTAGATCATTTGATAAAAATTAATTTGAATGTTAACATTTTTTGTGGTAAGTATGTTTACTACTACTTAATAGGTGTTATAAAAAATTAAGAGACTTAATGACTTTCATTTGTAAAATAAATTTTATAATTACTTCAAACTGGAAAGGGAATTATATATTCTAACTTTTTTTTACATTCCCTAAAAACAGGCATATTGTCACCAATTACATTCAATTTTAACAAATGGCGTACCAAAGCTATAGTGGTGGTAAATATAATTACCGCAGCCTTAGAAAGGGGTAACACAGTTCACTAATTTGTGTGAACTCCATTTAGTGAGAGAGAATAATCATCTATTCTCTAAGCCACAGTGTTTACTAACAAACTTTTTTTGGGGGGGTTTCATATATCATTTCCTATTTTTCATTTGCTACAAATCTTTGATAAATGTGGCAATGAGCCATGCAGAAACTAGTACCATTTGCTGTTTTTTTCTTCTTTAGCCTTTATTTTTTTGAAGAACAATTATTTAGTTTCTATATATGTTTCAAATATTTTTGCAGAATCATATATATTCTGTATTCTATTGTAATTCAAATATTTGTTTTAGTTTTCATTTTTACAAATTCTGATCGTAAGATAAGATGTTTTGAAAGTTAATTTATTTTTGCTAAATTGTGCTTTTCTATGTTAGTGCTTGAGATTTTATCTTAAAATCAAAGTGTTATTGTATTACTGTACCCTATGCAGAATCAGCAGTTTTTCTACTGATTAAGGAACTTAGTAATTAGAAATAAGACTCAATCCAACACAGTTGGGATATATTTAGCATTTTGTTAAAATATATTCATGTGTTAAAATTTTTCAAAACTAGAAAATTTATTTCCTACTATCTTCTGTTTTAGTTTCCTGATATTCAAATTCTATTAAGGCATCATCACATTTATTCAGTGCAATAAAAAGTAGTATATGCAATTCAACCTTGTAATTTGAACATAATTCATGCTAGAAATGTTTCTGTGAAGCAAAATTTTTCATCAAAACCTACTAAAGGGAGAATATGAAACTCTTATAAGACAAGCCATTTTTTTTCTCTTCATATTGCTCATTTAGTTCATTAAATTAAAATTCCTTACTTTTTTCACTCGTGCTGTTAAACACTTATCAACCAAGTTGGTTGCAATTCCAAATTGTTATGTATATATCTATAAGTTCCTAAACACTTTAGAGTAAAAAAATCACAACTATGAAAAATCACTAATTACAGCTATAAAATATTCAAAGAAATTCAAAACAAGAATTACTTTCAAACTTATTTCATTGTATATGATAAAACATTTCATTTTCAAACATTTTAATAAACTTTAAGTGTGATTATCCATTGACAATAAATCAGACATTTATTTCTGAAAATATGTAAGAGCAGTTTGCCATCTAGCCTTACGCATAGAAATGTTACTCATATTTAGAACGTAGTAACCAAAATTGTAGCAATACATATCTGCTTGAGTTGTGTTGCCACAGTTAGCTTCATGTAAGCCGATTATTATTTTGTGTTTAAGAACTTAAAATATTTATATTCCTAGCTTTTTTCTGTTCTAGATGCATTATCTCAGTAAGCACACAGTACTTTATAACTCATTTCATAGCATATGATAAAACATTTAAAATTAAACACAACATAGCATATGATTTGTAAGCATTTTAATGAACTTTAAATATGATTATCCATGGACTATAAAGCAGGCATTTATTTCTGAAAATATCTAAGAGCAGTTTGCCATCTAGACTTACACTTAGAAATGTCACTCTAGCAAAAATTTTAACAATTTATAACTGTTTGAGTTGTGTTGCCACAGTTAGCTTCATGTAAGCAGATTGTTACTTTGTGTTTAGGAACTTAAACTATCTATATTCCTAGCTTCTTTTTTTTCTGTTCTCGTCTCATTATCTCTGTCACCACATAGTTTAGGCTCTTTTTCTTTGATTTGAAAATTATTTCTGCTATCAATATATATCAGTTTTTAAACTTTTGCATATTATAACTTCAATACTCGTAAACCTAAAAATGTCTTGTTCTAAAATAGTTAATTTTGTACTTGAGAAAAAACACACACGCAAATAAAAGGCGGAAACTTTTTGTATTTAATACTTGTTAAGTCCCTTTGAAATTTTCTTTCCTAATAATTGTTTTTTAACCAGCGCATTTTAGTAAACTATGTTAAAGCAACCATGTGTAACAACCATTAATTTGCTGAAAGTTTGAAATTAGAATTCGCTAATGCTTTTATATTAGTTTCAGTTGTATTTACAACTCAATGTATAATTTTAATAAGAGTAACAAAAGAAAGAATTATTTTGCTTGTGCATGGCTTTGCAGTTAATAAATGATTTTTTTAAACATTCTGTTGCTTCTGGTGCATTTCCTTCCTCTCTTAATATACTTTGCATCTTAAAGGTACTACAAGCCTAGAAAGGAGGGTTCCTGTTTTCAAAGGTATCTAAGCTTCTTTTTTATGCTACTTAGAAAAAGAAATATTTTTTATTTCTCTATGCTTTTAGAGGTATGCTGGTGTAAGCTTGTGCTTATTTCATTCTCCATTATTAATTTTCATGCACGTGATATAGAAAAATAAGAATTCTTTATTCTGTTTTTCTTAATTTATGGTATGAATATGAATAATTTTAATGTAACCAATCTAGTCAAAATGAATGCATTTTTGCTGAACTTTTTGCTGTTATTTCTGTTTTACTCAGAGCTTATTTAGCAATGTCAATATGTTTTTTAATTTTTTCCATGGTGATATGATGTAGTTTTTACATGAGCTGGTTTGTTCCATTTTAATAGTACAAAAAGCAGCCAAATAATAAATACTGAAATATTATGTTAATACTTGTATTAAAAAAATGGTGTGTGGTTTAGAAGAACAAATTTAGAGCTTTATCTCTCACATAATGAACCTGACATTATTAACTTTATTAAACGACAAATAATAAAATGGGAAGGCCGTGTTATCAGAATGGACGAAGACTGTACCACGAAAAGAGTTTTTAATGCCAGACCAGTTAAATAGGCAGGCCGAATTTGAGATGGATGGATGGCCTAGAAAAAGAACTTTCGTGCGTAGAAACTAAAAACTGGAAAATGCTAGCAGGGAAAAGGTTAACTTGGAAAAAAAAATTTGAGAAGGCCAGCACCCGTCCTGGGCTGTCGAGCCACTGAGGTTGAGGATGACATATATAGATATATATTTAATGAAGAGCAAGGCCTTTTAAACTTTTGATCTCTCAATAGACAATGCCTCTTATGCTCACTAGATCAATGCTTAATTACATAATCTCATTTTATTTGAGTAAAAGAATCATAGATTTTGGACAAAATACTCATGAAGTGAAAAATTTACCCCATTTTTAAGAAGGAAACAAAACAAATCATTTGTATATATGCTGAGGGAAAAATTGAACGTGTTTTATAGTGTCAGGGATACAATAGCTATAGCAATGCCACATTACAAAATTATTGATTAAATTAAGCACACCACAAATTATGCATAACAGATTGACCAGTTTGCCTGAGAGCATTTCCAGTGAAAGTAAAGTCATGTTAAAATGAGTGCAATGATTATCCAAAAATAATTCCATGCAAAGTATAACTTTAAGTAAATATTTATTATTTTATTTAATAGCAACAGTCTGAAAATTTTGATTTGTGAAGCATAAAATTTTTTACATAATTTTAAATGGCAAAATACATAATCTGAGCAAAATCAGTTTAATATTTCCTGTGAAATTGAATTTTGAAAAAGTTGTATTTTTAAAATTTGATTTTTTAAGAAGAATCTAACCAATTTTGCTAAATCTTTTTATTTTGACATTTAAAATTACAATCTTTAAAACGATGTAAAAAGTTGTATACCTTACAATTCAGAAGCTTTTTTTTTTATCTGTTATTAAAAAAATAATAAATTTTTACTAAAAATTTTATTTTGCATGGAATTATCTTTTTTATTAACTAGTTTAATAATTGTGTGTAAAAAAAATTTCAATTCGCTGTAAAAATTTCTTGAGATATGGTGAAATACACAAAAAATAAAATTAACATTAAGGGGTCCAAACTTTGAGCTGCTCTCCTAACCAAACTATTCGGACCATATTTCCCAGATTGTGGCTTCTGGAGGTCAGAAATCCAAATCCGTCAAAATATGTAGTTACGTCTATTCAGGGAAAATACGTTTTTATCTGATTTCATAACTTAAAATAGCGTCTGCACTTAATATTCAGAATATTTGAAGCCACCCCCTCAAACCATTGAGATTGAATCCTAAAATGTGAAGACCTGATCATTAGATCAAAAGTTATTTAGGGTGGCTCATTTTGCACCCTTTACAATACGGAATATAACATTTTGAAAAAAGTTTTATAAAAAAAAGTCAATTGTTTTGCTAATTGAATTAAAAAAACTATTTATTTCTTATTTGAAATACTACTATGTACAGCAAAAATGGTCTTGAATTTCATTGAGATTTTCCTTGAAAACTTATGAAGTAAATTAAGCTTGCTGACAAATTATTTTTTCATTACTACATAGACATATACTTTCTTAAATGTCTTTTTTTTCATTGTTTCAGAATCAGTTTCAGTAGAACGTCCATCTGTGAGAGACCCCTGGATGTCCAGTTTTTCTTCAGAAGATAAGGATTATTCATTAAAAGTTTGCAATGGAGTGTATCAGGTCTACAGTGGATCTGAGGGGGAAAAACTTGATTTTCCCTATCCACTTTTTCAAGAATTTATTGCTGATTTGCAGTTAATGTGCTGTATGATAGCTGACGGACCTCTGTATGAGTTATTATTATCCACTAATTTGATTTTAGCCCCATATTTTTATTTGTAAATGAATATAATTGTTTAAAATTATTTATTTTTGTAGGAAATCCTTCTGTTATAGGAGATTGCAATATTTATCTTCTAAATACCAACTTCATGTTTTGTTGAATGAGCTTCGTGAACTTGCCTCTCAGAAAGCAGTGCCCCATAGGGACTTTTATAACACTCGGAAGGTATATATTTTCTGAAGTCTGTTTCTATGTATGTAGAATTGCTTCTATTTAAAAATTACTTTATTTCTATCAGATACTTGATCTATATGATTTAATATGAAATCATCATTTTAGGTTGATTATTATCAACCTTAAAACCAAATAAATTGTCATTAAGGATTATTTTTCTATCCCCTAAGTCACTCTGGCTTGCTATTGATGTAAATAATATATTTTACATCAATAGCATCAACACATGATGAATAAATGATAAATTTTACTTTTTACTGCATGGGGTGATGAAAAAAACGTACAGTACAGTGTTTTCATCATAGAAAAAAAAATGGGTGAGAATTTCTCACCCTTTCTCAAAAACAGGGTGAGATTTCAAAAACCTTAAGTGAGATTTCTAAAAACTAAAAAAACACAGAAACTCTTCAAAAAAAATTTCTTTAATTATAATACATTTTTAACGTCTTCTATTTTTTAAAGCATTTAATATATTTGGAGCATCATCATAGAAGATTTTGCCTTTACAAGGTATTTGTCCATCTTACATTAGCACATAAAAAACTTGAACGTCTTACTTGAAGAAACCTAACCTACGGTAAACACGTGGTTGCAGAGAAATTTGTTCTGAAAGGGGTTCTGTGGTAGAAAAAAAATATGGGAGATTCTTGCGCTGTAGTGAAAACACTGCAGTAGTAAAATCACTCAAAATGTACAGTAGTAAAATTAGTCTTACAGACTAATTTTACAACTGTATATTTTAAGTGATCTTTATTCTCCTTAGAACGTTAAAAGTGTGACTGATATCTGTACTAATAAATATTTCTGAATACTAACAATATGACTTTCCACAATGTTTTGAAAAGGTCTTTAGATGTACTTTTCTTTAATAGTGTAACTTTATGTAGCTAAATGTATATTTTTGGAAACATTTTTACTGTGTATGTTTTTAGCTTTTTCACTTCGTGATTTCTAATGATGTTATTTTTAGGTAGATACTCATGTCCATGCGGCTTCTTGTATGAACCAAAAACATTTACTTCGTTTTATTAAAAAATCAGTCAAAGTGCACGGAGATGATATTGTTAAACTCAGTGAAGGAAAACCTCTGACCTTAAAGCAGGTTTGTATTTTCTAATTAGATTCTTTATGTCACTTTAGATTTAGCAGTTTATTTCTAAAGAGTGTTTCTGAGTTAAGCTATTTTAGAAAGGGAAAAAATGCTACACTTTGTCTTAAGCTAAAGAAACTACTGTTTGAGTGTCATGAACTCGAAGCAAAGCTTTAATTTTAATCTAAATTTTCAATCTGCCAAAAAGAATTGTGGTGACTTTATTACATACAATCCATTTTATTATTACAAAATTATTAAAATTTTACGTTTAGTTAATATTTCAGCTGCTATTATCATCATTGGGATCTTAAAGATTGATAAAATCTAGTTTGCTTTTGGGAAAGAAAACAACTTTAAAATCATTTTTTTTTTTTCAAAATTGTAGTTATTTTGGGACTGATTCTGAGATAATGTGGAAAAAAAATCAAATAATTAAAGTTCAAATTAGATAGTTTACTAGACCATAAACTTTTTGTTAGTACACTCTCAAATATTAGATAACTTTTAATTCAGATAACTGCAAGATAACTACTTTTTTTTATATGGTGAACTTTTTTATTTATTGAACTTATCTAAAAAATATTCACTTGCAGGTTTTTACTGACTTAAATATATCTACATATGACTTAAGTGTAGATATGCTGGATGTTCATGCAGTAAGTTATAGATTTTGTTCAATTCTTAGGATAGTTTTTCTGTATTATAAATGTTATGTGGTCATTTCAAATTATAATTTTTATATTCATGATGTAATTTTTGCTATTTTTATTTTCTGATTAAGTTTAATTATGAATGTAGAAGTAATTTTTGTTTAGCATACATTTTATGTAGATGTAATTTACCCTGTAACCATTAGGTTAAGGCAGTGTTTCCCAAACTTATGACTTTTGTGTACCCTTTCTAAATTTTTCGTAACGCTGTGTACCACTAATAAAAAAAAGAATGTATTTTTTTACTATAAAAAAATTGCACAAAAGTTAAAAATCACAACTGACAGTTGATACCACTAATTATTAACTCGGCAGAAAATAGCCAATCGAAAGATATGTAATCGTAAATTTTCTTGGCTAGCTTTATTTTTAAATAAAAAATTTTTGAAATTTTCGTTTATCCAAGATATTTCGCATAAAAACGAGTACCCCCGCTAAACTGTTCCCATACCCCTGGGGATACGCATACCACACTTTGGGAAACACTGGGTATAGGGATAAATTACTTCTGTATAAGATGATTGCTAATTTATACACATAAATATAACAATTTATTTGAGCCAGTAATTCTTTCCTGTCCTTTAAATTTGTATATTTAAAAATTATTCTTTGTCTCTTTGTTTTTTATTTTGCATCTGCTGTTTTTTTTTTCTTCCAGAAATAAGATCAAGATTTATATTTCATGGAAAATTAATATTTTTGAAATGTAATATAGAATTATAATATACAAATTTGTCTAAAATTACAATTTGGCGTATCATCATTTAGATAAATTACTTGGTGATCTATTAGTTAACAAGTTCCAACTTTAAATTTGTTTTTTCCTAATTTCCTATTAGCAGCTGGTTGCATTGGCCAATTTTTTTTATTTTTTTTTTGACCAGCCCAGTACAAAGTCAACTTCAACAACAAAGTCAACCCAGTTCAACTTCATATGAAATTTGTATATGAATAAATGACTAATATATGACTTCATATGAAAAAAAAATAATAATGTTGTTTAAGGATGGGCAAACTGTCAAGTTATTAAAGTTTATAGCCTCTCCTGTGAAACACAAAGGGCAATCAGAAATGCCTATAGGACAAAGGTCATAGTCATTTCCATTAACAATTCTGAAATTTGTATGGAAAATGTGTCCAGGGAGATCCATGGGGATGAGATGAAGAATAAGACTGAACCATATTTTCCCTGTAGCAGCTTTGGTGCTTTTAGCAAATTTATTTATTATCCTGGCGATGAGATGATGATGACGGAAATTTGATTATAAGGAATTGCAAAAAGAGGCTGTGACAGCGAGCATCCTTTTGGGGAAAGACGGTCTACTCTCTCATTTCCAAATATATCGCAATCACTGGGAATCAACTGAAGGAAAATCACCCTACCATCATTGATGAAATCATCGATTTTCTGTTTTGTTTCCTCTACATGTTTCGACTTACTGGTTTGAAAAGAACAAAAGGAAAGGATGACTTCCTGCAAATCAATAAGGAGCACTGCATGATTTAGAGATGTATTGCAGGTGGATAGATAAATAGCTGACTGCTCGATTGCCCGCCTCTATCTCAGCTTCAAAATTTGTGACATTTATACCAACTGAGCCTTCAAACAAGTTTTCACAAGTCTTCTTATGAGGAGCCATCAGTATAGATATTAAGCCAAGAAAAGAATGGAGTCTTCTTTAAAATCAAATATTCTAGCAAAAACAAAAATTCCTACATTTAACATGATAAACAAAATTTTATGAATCTGAACTATAAAGTTGAAAGCTTAAGGGAAACTTGAAATCCATTTCTTACTTAAAGTCTGACAGCCGAACACTTCATAAAAGTTCAATTTCCTAACTGCATTCTTTCTTATCTAGAATATTAATTTACTCGATGTTATTGGTCATGGAAGAAATCATTCTCACGAACTTGCCCATTTGTAAGTAAAAGTGTGAAAGAGTTAAAATCAAATTTCTGGCAATAATGGAAATTTTTAAGTTAATATTTTCCTCTAACTTTTTTTATACAAAATTAAGAAAACTATGGCAAACATATAAAAAATATTACAAAATAGCTTATAAACAGTATAAAATTATAGAATATGCTGCAAAAGCCATTCTTATAGAAATTTATAACTGTTTTGCTGCTTTATAACAGCTAATGAGCAAATATATAAGTAAGCTGCAATTAGTCTCAGTAATATAGCTAATTATTAAAAAAACTTAACAATACAATTTCAGTTGTTCGGAAAAATACTAAAACTGAAATGTACAAAAATCACCTGTAATAACTGCATTAAGGTTTACTCAAGAAATAATCTGTTGCTCGAATTATTTGCATTGCTTGCAATACATTAAATGATAAGGATAAAAATCCCCTTTTTTTACTGTTTGCTGTGCATTGTGAGTCAAAAAAAATTATGTGATAAAAATTGGGTTAAAATTTCTGTAGTTTTCAAATTACATATTTTTATTGAATGAAAGTACAGGCGATCAGAACGCTCGTATACGCCATCTTATGAGATGATTGGTTTCATGCCTTTGGCCCTCTTTTCAGTTGTATAGGAATGTACTACGATATTTTTCCTCTTTTTTAATATTTTTCGTTTTTAATTTTAAAAAAAATTTTTGAACTTTCCATGATGCTTTCTTTTGAACTATGTTTAATGTAGCTTTCAGTTCTATATAGTTTTTCAACTTAAAAGATTTTAATATATTTGAGAATCAAGACAGAAGCTGATGTACTTCCTTCTTCTATGACTCTCCACACGCTAATGGTGAAAGCATACAAAGTGTTGCCATATATAGAGAGTTCTGCTCTACCCCATGTGTAGCCCATTTTGATCGCCAATAGATATTTGCACTGAGTAAAAGAGAGAATGTCACTTTTACATGAGGGGGTTAAATTGTTATGTGATGTGCCTTTTTTAAAGTTTTTATTTAAATAGTAAAAGACATTATGTATCATAATCTAAACATTGATATAAAGATAGGTTTGTGGCAACTTCAGTTTCTAGAATACCAAAATATCTTTTTAGAAGAAACTTATATTTGTATTTTTATCAAATTCTTGGTATTTCTTACTAAGTTCTCGGCATTTCTTTTTAAGTATTAGTATTTCTTATTAAGTATCTATATCTTATTAATTTCCTTAATTCTACTTGATTAAGAATTAATATTCTACTTGATTTAATTTTACCTTGTTTTTATTTTAATTTCAGGATCGAAATACTTTCCATCGATTTGATAAGTTCAATGCTAAATACAATCCTGTTGGAGAAAGCTCTTTGCGTGAAATCTACTTAAAAACTGATAATCATATTGGAGGAAAATATTTTGCTTCCATATTAAAAGTAAGCTTTAAACTTTATGCAGCATACCTTTAAACCCCTCAAATAATTTATCTTTCAATAATTCCAGAATCCTGAAGTTCATTTGATATCTCTTTTTTCATTCCTCATTTTTTTTCCCATTAATGTTTGAATTAGACGCATATTTAATACAATTTAATTTTTTATTTTAAACACATAATACCCTGAATTTATAGATATGCTATTAAACTGCTGTGATGTATAGTACTATAGATTTTCAGGTTTTAATCAAACTATTGAATTATGGAAAACTTTTAAAAGATTTCATTTTATTGATTTTATTACCTCTTTTTAAACAATGATAATTATATGTTTATTAATGTATTGTATGATGTTAAGCGTTTTAGTTTAGAATATATTTGTTCGATAAAAATATAGTCATTAAATTTTATTATGTATAGATAACATGCAGGTGCGTGGTAAAATAATATGAACACATCTATACTAACTCTATCTAAATCTTTTTTTGGGAGCAAATATTTTTAACTCTTTATATGGTAAAACTGTTGGCACAATTTGAAAGAGCATTTTTGAAGCATTTAGAAATGGTGTCATTTTCCCCCATGCGGAATTCAGATTGGTCAAAATGAAGAAAGTAACTGCTTTCTATCTTTAATACCAGTAATTTTAAAATCATTCGATGGAATTGTGATTTGTATTTTAAAATTATTTTCGAATTATAGCTTAAATGCTTCTAGAATTATAGCTTAAATGCTTTTAGAATTGTAGCTTAAATGCTTTTAGAATTATATGAAATGAAATAAGTTTTATACAAATTTTTTCATAGGTAAAAAGGGCACCATTTCTAAAAGCTTCAAACATGATCTTTCAAATTGTGCCTCCAGTTTTGACACGTAAGATCTTTAAAAACATTTGCTGCTAAAAGGAAGATTGTTTAGATAGAGTTAGTATAGAAGTGCTCATATTGTTTTATCACCCGTTTGTATACTCCATTTGGTGACCTGATCTTTGTTTTTTCAGATAAAGACAAACTTATTCATTAATTAAATTTGAAATGGTGTTTTGATAATTTTATGATCTCTGATAATTAATAATATCTGATTATTAATATAGTTGTTGATTGGTAAAAAATGTAAATTTTAAAATAACAATAAAAAATTACTAGGCACTATAACCATTATAAAGAGAAAAATATTCAACTACTACCAAAAAGTATCTCTACAGGTTGGTATCTCCAAAATTATACAGAAAAAGTGGTGTGTTCATTAAATCATATGGTAGCATGATAGTCATTATCACTAAGTGACTAACATATTATCGACAGATTATCTTTAATATTAATGCTTTGGGAGATACATAAATAGTAAGACTTTTAACCTATTCATTAATGGCAAATTGTTTAATAAACACACTTATAAATTAATAAAACAAAGAAAAATCAAAGATTATATTTTAAAAGGGTCTGAATGCATTTAAAAAATTTTTTTTAGCTCTTTCCTGTAGTTATATTATTCTGCAATGTACCTGAAAAAAATGAGAAAAGGATTTTAGGACTTATCATTGTCTTTTCTTGCAGGAAGTAATGAGCGATTTAGAAGAAAGTAAATACCAAAATGCTGAGTTACGCCTCTCCATTTATGGCCGCAGGCCTGAAGAGTGGGATCGCTTAGCAAAGTGGGCTGTTGTACACAATGTTTATTCTGACAACGTTCGATGGCTAATACAGATGCCTCGAATATAGTGAGTTTTTTTTAAGTGCTAGTATCTTTAAAAACCTACAATTTTGTCAATATTTTAAGATCTCAAGACTTGGGTTGTTTGGGTATGAAATGCATGTGTGTTTAAGAAAGTGAGATGTTTTATCATAATCCATATTAACATAATGAATTGTGATACTTTTTTTCTTAAATATTGATGAATGGATTTTACGAAGCTGTTTTTTTTCTTCTTTATGTTGTAAATCTATATTAATAATAAATTTATTTGCTTTTAAGTTTTTAATTTTCTATTTACTTTTCAAATCAGTTGCTTTGACATATGAAATTGTAAACTTCATATTACAAGACTTATTTTTTCCAAATTTTAAAATGGTACCTTGTTAATTTCACCATAAGAAAGGAGTAACAAATAAGTTATAAACTTCATCTAGTGTTTTCTTTGTAATAAAACTATTAACTTTTAAGCTTGTTTGTGGGGGAAAACTAACATGATAAATTACATTGAACTTCAATAGAAAAGCTGAAACTTTTTTTTCCTTCAAATCTTAGGTTAAATAAAGTAAAATTATATAATAAAGGGTAAACTCTGGAGGCCCCGTTCAAGCCATCCCCTCCTAGAAAATCGGTAGTAATTTTAACATAAATTGCATATTCTGAATTTGAAAGACAACTGACCAACTATCTAACATCAACAAACAAATTGGTCGAACAAGAGCCCCAACGTGCTCACTCAAATCAATCATATAATGGAACAAGTTCTTACTTAGAAAACAAGATTTTAATTTAAAACCATAATGTCTTGCTTAGGGACAGTCGAAGCTAGAATAGAATGTACGATTCCTCTCAATTTTATTAAGGAAAAGATCTAAAACCATTATTTTTATTCCAACATGATTTATTTTTTGGTTGGGACTGTATATTTTTCCCTTTTTTTTTAGAAACAAATTTAATTTAAATAATATTTTACGCCCCAGGTAATTGAAAGTGACTAAAGTATTAAAAAGTATATCATAAAAACGTATCATTAACATTAACATAGCTCAATATCCTTAATAAAATTTTTAGTGCTGTGGCAATTGCAGTTTTAGTGCTTATAAGTTTGGTAATAGTGCTCTTAGAACATTAAATCATGCTGAAAAGTTGTTAAGTCATTATAAAATATAAAGACTGAGTCTTTGATATGACTAAAATAGGTTTGTTATACAGTGAAACTTCTCAGGAGTGACCACTTTCTGTTCCACAGTAAAATGGCTGTTAATGGAAGTTCGTCGCTCTTAGAGGCTACCTCCCCTGACTTCAAAATGTTATCGAAGGTACATGATTTTTCGCAAGCTATTTTAATTTTACTAAGCGTTATTTTCTTGATGCAGAAAGATCACTTACGTTGGCGTCATGAAAACCAGATCGATGAATAAAAATTGGTGTCAGTAAAAATTACCGCTAAAGATATAACAGGGTGCATATCATTTTTAAAAAGTGCTTAAAGGTGCTTATTTTTGAATTACGTTTTTTAAAAGCCCTTAAAGGTGCTTTTTTATTCAGTGTTTGTAAAAAGTGCTTAATTTTATATCTTATAATAAAAGTTTTTTTCTTTGCCATGTCAATTGTTGTTCTAAATTACAAAAAATGCATGATTTTCACAATTTTCTCTGCAATTACTGATTTTATGTTTATAAATTAAGAACTTTAAACGATTGAAAAAAAATCATCTTTATTGCTGCACAGATCGTAATTAGGATTTTTGTTTTTGGAAAGAGATTAAAAATATTTTTTGAGTGCTTAAAGAGTACTTAAAATGTGCTTATTTTTTGTTGAAAAATCTGGCTATGCACTCTGTATAATTATGTATAAAAGCAAATTTACTAATTGTGAATAAATGAACTATTTTGTTTTCTTGTTTAAGTTTGCTTTTAATTTTATATCATAAAAATAAGTTTCCTTTTAAAAATGAGAGGTGTTTGTTTGAGATGCTTAGGTTTTTTCTGAAATAACTTTTTTTTCTAATTTAATTTTTAACTCTTAAACTAAGTCATTAAACTTTAGTGCACTCTGACTGTAATATAAGAATGTCAATCTTTTCAGAGACCATCAAAAAAGAGCTTTCTAAATAAGAACCTCTCACAAATATTATATATAATTCACGCATATGCAGGCAGGGGAGAACTTGAAAGCCCCCCATTCTTGAGATACTTCTGCAGTCACTGGTGCGGAGGTTTGCTGGCTGCTGTGAGAGGTTTTGATAGTCTCTCCTAAAGGTTTTCTTCAACACAAAAACTATAGAAAAAATTCCATGCCTCCGAAAATTGGTCGTAAATAGAGGAGGTTGCTACGCGGAGGTGGTTTTTCCTGGAGGTTTCACTCTATATTGCATTTTTATAATTAATTCATCTATTTGCTGCTTGTCTGAAGTTACATACTATTTTTCAGTGATGTGTTTCGATCCAACAATTTAGTTCAGAACTTTGAACAGATAATTGAAAATTTTTTTGCTCCTCTTTTCGAAGTTACTGCAAAACCATCCACACATCCTGAACTGCATTTGTTTTTACAATATGTAAGTTGATTTTTGCAATTTGTAGGATTTTCTGTTTAAGAGTTAGGTAATTAAAAATACAAAAATGTCTGCAACTATAATGGTGAAATTGAAATGTTTTAAAGAAATTTCTACTTGATAAAATGTTTTTAAAAAAATATTTCATCATTTATTTTTTTTAAACGTATTATAAAATAATAATGTTGCATTATACTGTCTAATGCTTTGTGTGTGACTAAATATGGCTAAAAAGGTATGAATAATTTTGAATTTTCATATAAATAATAACTTGTCTGCTTTTATGTGTTTAAAGGCAGTGATCGGAAGTGGCGCACTACAAGTAGTGAAACTAATGTAGTTACTACCTTTTCATCTAGTTTCTAGTGTAATGTTAGTTTAGTAATGAAACACGGTTCTAACACAACTAATTTTCCGAATTTGATGGGTAAAAATCTTTGTGGGTCCGTCAGTGGACACAATGAAAATGACCCTGTTGCTGAAGCTGAGAGTTAACAGGAATGACATGTTTAGAATCATGTATAACTAATGTTTAAACTAGCCATTGTGAATAATTAATCATTTTAATCACACTTTCACATGCGTATGCAAACTAGTGAAGATTAATGTTATTTCAAGAGAAAGGAACATATTGTTGATGTACTTAATTTCTTGGAGGAAATATAAACCGTTAAAGAATTTTAAAAAATTGCAGATCTTTGATAGTTTTGCATTTCTTAAATTAAATATTTGCTGTCGAGAAATGCATTGAAAGTTGAAGTTTAGACGAACACATTCGAAAAAAGTGTTTTGGAATAACAAACTGGCTCATTTAAACATGAATTAAATATTTTTTAATTATTCTTTTGTATTTAATGTTAGCTCATTTCTTATTCAAAACCATTTTGAGCATATGTGTAAATTAAGTTCTCCAGCAAAATTAGTCTCCTTAAAGTAATGAAGTAGTAACTACAATTCCAAAGTAGTTTGTAGTCACTACATTTAAAAAAAGAGTAATTGTAGTTGTTGTTAGCTAAATTTGTAACAAAATAGTTACAGTTGGAGTAAACTACAAATACTGTGTAGTTTTTCCGACCACTACTGAAAAGAAATAATATACGCCTGATTCTTTTCCATCGTTTCTTAAATCATTTATGTCATTTCTCTCTAAAAAATTTATGGTATTTTAAATTAATATTAAAAACAAATTTTTCTTTTTCAGGTCACTGGGTTTGATTCTGTTGATGATGAATCTAAACCAGAAAATTTAGTGATTAACAAAAATATTCCTCCACCTGCAAAGTGGAGGGACTTGGAAAATCCTCCTTACTCTTATTATCTGTATTACATGTATGCAAATATTTGTGTTCTCAATCACTTCAGGAAGTAAGTTATCTGTAGCCTTCTAGGTTCTTTTTTGAAATATATATTAAAACTTCTACTAGTTCTTTTTTTTTTCTCTTGATATGGTGTAAAAATATATAGAGACAAAATTTTCGTGAAGTCAAGTTAAAACTACATTGGTAAAACTTATTATATATTTATAATTCCTAAACGGCAATTTTTTTAGAAAAATTTTTAGTTTTAGAAATTATTAATTTAAAGTGGTAATTCATTTTGATATGAATATAATTTCTTTTTAAGGTGTGTAAAGTGTGCATAAAACTTGAAGAGCAGTTTATAATAATAACCTTACTATGCAGAGGGTGACTCTGTGGTTGAAAAATAAATTAATGTTTGATTTTGGTGCAAATAGTGATATGCTATTTGTATAAATAAAGGGAAATAATAATGGCAATAAAATAATATGAGTATTGTAATTTTAATAAATGCAAATTTATTATAAATTTGCCATTAAAGTCTTGTGTTAAACTCAGTCAAATTTTCTTTATGGTCCTGTGTTAGTTTGTGTCTGACGTAGGACCACATAGTTTTTTTGTTATGTAAAATTTGTTTTTATTGATTTATTTTTAGTTTAGTTTAAGTGCACCATTTTGTTTAAAAATTATTTGACAAGGAACGAGAATCATTTTTAAAAAAATGGAATTTAAAGTGTTGAATATATCATTCATTTAAGTGTTGAGTTATATCATTCAATGCTTGATATCAATTCAATATTTCATGTCCATTCAATAATTCAACATAAGAACAAAATTAAATAATGAATATTCCTTTCCTTTTCTAAAAAAATTACACTCTGGTTGACAAAACATTGATAAATAACCAATGATTAGGAAAATAATTGTAAAATATGGCATAAATCGTTTTCTGAAAATGCATGCCATATCTTACATTTATATGTGTACTGTTTACACACTATCTATATGTATGGTTTGAATTAAAATGCTCAATAAATATAAATAAATTATGTGTGTAATTTAAGTTGTTTCTTTTTCCAGATTGAGAGGCTTCAACACTTTTAACCTTAGACCACATTGTGGAGAAGCTGGGCCCATTCAGCATTTAGTCTCGGGATTTTTGTTGAGTGAAAATATATCTCACGGGTTGCTTTTAAGAAAGGTCAGTTTGTAATACCATTTTAAAACAACACTTTGAGAGGAATGCCTTTGCTGACAGTACTTAATAATTTGGATAATATTTCTTTTTCAATTATGATGCTCTTCATTTACTTCCATCAATACTTAATATATTGACCTTTTAGTTAGACCTAATACATTTTGTTAATAATGTGTGATTTATACATGAAATAAAAGTGTGGATATAGACATANTGTGGAACCCAAACACTTTGCTTTAACACAAACCCAAGAGATTTAATGTGATCTCCAACAGTTGTATGATGAATGCCAAACTTCTCTGCAATTTGTCGACTTGTTAAATGTGGATTATTTTCCAACATGGATTGCAAAACATCACTATTGATAGACGACAGAACTTTCCCTCCAACCCAATACTAGGTTGTGTTTGTAAGTACAGTGAAACTTCTCGGGAGTGACCACTCTCTGTTCCACAGTAAAATGGCTGTTAATGGAGGTTGGTCGTTCTTAGTAGTTACCTCCATTGGCTTCAAAATTTTATCAAAGACTCATAATTTTTCGCAAACTATTTTAATTTTAGTCAGTGTCATTTTCTTGGTTCAGAAATGTCACTTGAGTTGGCATTATGACAAGCAGATCGACTGTAGAAACAATTTTACCATATATGAATGATAGAACTTTTTTGTTTAAGTTTGCTCTTAAAAATGAGTTAACTTTATAAAATGAAAAGAGATTTATTTGAAGTGCTTTGATTTTTTCTAAAATAACTTTTTTTTTTTCTAATTTAATTTTCATTGATAGCCTTATCTTTAGTACACTCTGACTGCAACATGAGGTTGTAGATCTTTTTCAGAGATCGCAGAAAGAGCTCTCTAAATAAGAGCCTCACACAAATATTTTGAATACATTTTAATCTACTTATTTGTTTTATTAATATTTTTCCATTTTTGACCTTTTCTGCATTTGGTGCAGTGGTTTGCCCATGCACTGTGAGAGGTCTTGATGGTCTCTCCTAAAGGTTTTCTTCCCCACAAAATCTATGGCAAAAATTCCTGTGCCTCCCAAAAGTAGTTGCAAATAGTGGAGGTCGCTACCTGGAGGTTTCACTGTAGTATAATTTTCATTATGTAACTTCATGTCATGTATTGTAACTTCATGTTTTTCAGTTTAATGTAACTTGTAGACTGGTAAACCTAAGTTATGTATAAGTTACACCTAATTGATCTCAGGTGGCGAAATTTAAATCTGATCAGCCAGAACATGAGCCCACATATAGACGATAGTTTAATCATCCCATCTGGTCTTAATCTCAAAAACTTTTAGTATCAATTCGAAAGCAGTTGTGGCCAAATTAAAGTAAATAAATTTTTTTCAGAATGCAATATAAAATGGCTAGATTTTACTAAGATTATTTTGTTACAATAATTTTTTCTATTTATATTATATTCTTTTTTACTATCATCTTAATATCCTGATCTGTGTATTTTGCAGTTATTAAAGAGATAAGAAAATAATGATATATTTTTAATACAAAATTCTAGAACAAGTTTTAATAAATGATCAAATTAGGCTTGTTTTCAATGATTATACAAATTTTCAATTCTGTATTGATGAAAGTCAATTGGTTTTTGTGCAGAATATCTAGGGAGGATATGATTTAAATTTTTTTGTCTCTCAAAATGTACAAATGTTTTTTACTAGTGATCAGAAGTAAAAAAACATCTGATTGTGATTGTACACTATCAGATGTATGGTAGCTAATGGAAAGAATATAATGTCTATTTCATTAGTTTTTCAGGGCTCAATTTGTGTAAGGTTTGAATTAATAGCATACCTGCCAACATTGGAGAAATAAAATAACAGAGATTATTACTAGTGGCATTTTTTAGGCTAAGAGTATAAATTTGATACATCATGCATAACCATGTAAGTCAAAATTGGAAATAATATAAGCACTTACATTTAGATAAGTAAAAAATATGTATATAAATCTTAATCTAAAGAAGATTTTTCTAAACCATTATTTATAACTACTTAAACTATTAACACTCAATATCAGTACTGGCAGTAGCACCATCTGTTAAGGAATAAGAGAAGTATTTTTGCCATCAACAGATATTTTATCGCCAAAATTATTATTATTTTTTTTATTTCTTCAAAAATACGGATAAATTTGAGGATAGACATATAGGAGATAGTCGTATTTTTTAATGAAGACGGGAGTCTTCATTAAAAATTAATAGTACATATAATTTTACTCCATTTAGACAAGGGCTTTCATACATTTTATATTAAAATGATGAATTAATATTTTAGGTTCCTGTTCTACAGTATTTGTATTATCTTGCGCAAATCGGTATTGCCATGTCACCTCTCAGTAACAACTCACTTTTTCTAAACTATCACAGAAATCCTCTCCCAGAGTATCTTGCAAGGGGACTGTGTGTCTCTTTATCAACAGATGATCCCATGCAATTTCACTACACAAAGGTTAGTAGTCAAAGGTTCTCTCTGAAAAAATTTTAATTTTAAAAACATTTTGGTATATTTGTTAGGTTCCTCTTACCAACTGCAGTTGAAGATGCAAAAAAAAATCCAATAACTTTGTATGACTTTTGACAGAGAATTTTTTTTAAGAATGCATGATTTTTCCTATCAGCAGCTTCACAATTCCTAAAATCTTGTATAGAATAACATGATGCGTAGCATTTTTAAAAAGTCGTTTTTTAAAAGCCCTTAAAGGTGCTTTTATTCATTGGGTGTTTTTAAAAAGTACTTAATTTTCCCTTTTTGAAAATGAGATTTTCGAAAAGGGTTTGTCGATTTTTGTCATGCATTATGTAAAAGCGTACTTTTCACATTGTAGAATATTTTCACAATTTATTCAACCACAATCTATTTCAGTGTTTCGTTGGTCGTTAGCGTATGAAAGTGCCGATCATTTTACATGTTTGATGAAATACTTGTCAAGTCTGCATGCGTGTCTACTGAGCTGGGTTTGATGAGATCATTGCCCTCTCATGAGCTACTCTCCTGCATTTTGCAAGTTATTCTCAATTCCAGGCTTCATTTTCCACCCTCTGATATTGAACCAAATAATCTCTTGATCATTTTATAATGGCTAATATAATCAAGAAAAGAGTTCTTTGTCAGAAACTAGTTATTTTATCATGATCATGCAAAGTCTTTGAAAATAATTTTGTATTTTGTTAATGTGTACTTAAAAATATTTTTGAGTACTTAAAAGGTGCTTATTTTTTGTTGAAAGATTTTGCTATGCACCCTGAATAAAATAAAACTGCACCATCTAAGCCCTGAGGCAGGATTTTTTGGGGCTTTCTGCGACACATCTGTCTAGCACTAGTATCTTTCTGCAAGATACTTTCAATAATAACAAGTATATATGATACTAATTTAACATAACGACAAACTAAAAACCTATTTAGATAAAATAAATTTTACATAATTTTTTTTAAAAATAGAATATGCAATATTTTTTTATTCTAAAACTATGGGCAAATATTCTTTGTAGGAGAAAAGCGCTCTAACTATTTCCTTTTTCGCATTTTGTAAATCATAATCACCTTAAAAAAGAACTTATTAAAAATCGTTAAATCCATAGCAGTCACTACCGTAAAAAAGATAGGAGACAAAATCTTCCGAATCGTACTCTAAAAAGGGTTTACGTGCTTCGTTTTAAGATACAGTTGTTGCATTAAACATCATATTTAAAAAATTTATTAAACTAAAAAAATAATATTTAAAATTAAAAATATCCGATTTCAAAAACGGGTGAAATTCAATATTACTGTTGAAAATACAATCATAATACTATGGATTTTGAAAACCAAAATTTTTTACTTGAAACCCTGTGGTTGTTCCTTCTGAACCCCGTGGTAATATCACGGCGACAGTGTCACCGTGATTCTACCACGGGATTTAGAAGTAGCAATTACAGGACTTCCTTTTCCCTTGCATTATTTTTTAAAAAAACATGTAATGTGATTAAACTAATCTAATTTTGGATGTGTCAGTAATAAAATAATTAATGCATCTAATTGATTTCTCTTGGCAGGAACCTCTTATTGAAGAATACAGCATAGCAGCGCAGGTATTGAAGTTAAGCAGTTGTGACATGTGTGAAATCACGCGCAACAGTGTTATCATGAGTGGTTTCCCTGATGAGGTAACTAACTCCTTTGATGTAGATATTTTAAATTGAACCATCCCAATTAGCTTTTGAACCTCATAAAGGGCATATATACTGTCATGTAATGAAAAAAAATCAACCTAAGAGATAAAAAAGTAAAAATTGAGATTTTAATATATGTTGCATTTTTCTATGATTATCTACATATTGCAAAAATTAATTACTTTAAAAAAATCTTTTTATCAGTTTTCTGAAATTTTATTTTAACGTTGCTAGTGTCAGCAAAGGAAAAAAAATTACCAAGCCACTTTTCTTGAAACTTACAGTGAAGCACTTATTCAGTTGCAGGGCAGTATCCTTGAATTTTGACTAGATTGTTGTTCAAGCCTGCCTATGTCTGAGATCAATATGAATTTTTCTTGATCAAGTTCAATATTTTATATGGCAGATGAACGAAGTTCAGAAAAACATAATCTAAAATTAGACATAAACATAATCTAAAACTAAATCTAAAATTAGAAAGCTCTAATAAATTATATAATTGAAAATACTTAATTACAGATTACTAATTAATTACATTTTAATTGTAACACTTAATTTTTACTTTTTTCTATATAGTAAACTAAAACAGATTTTTATATATTTTAGTTATAAAATACTGAGGAAGTATATGTTCATAAGCTAGAAAATAAACATTGATCTCATTACCAATGTGGACCGAAAAAATTGGAAATTTTCTAAATCTGTCAATGATGATGAATAGTTATTAATTACCATCATTAAGGAGTATGGGAAGTCTTATAAATCTGAATTGATATTTTCTGCTATCTCATTGGGTTAAACGCTGGGAACACAAGACAGAGATGATTGTGCTCCGGAAATCCAAGGTCCAGAAATTTCAAGAAATCTTTCATCACATTTATGTATAAAAAAATTTCATTTCTTATTTAGAAACATTTAGAACTCGAATACTTGGCATCTCATTTGTAAATATTTTTTTCTGGTAGTATAATATATGTGATCAGAGATAAAAGTAAACTTATGCATAATTATTTATTTAAATTATGCTGCATATCATTTATTTAAAAATTTCATGTTTTGACTTAAAGTTATAAAGACATTAATTTTTTGAAATGTGTCATTAATAATTTTATTCAAAAAATTTACAGGATTTTTTAGTTGGGCTCACAATCACCCTTGATGAGACTAAAAATTTTTAAAATTCGAAAAGTGATTGAAAATTATAGATTTTGTTGATTGCCTGTGGCAGCGCTTTAAGAATACCATTTCTATATTTAATTTTAGAACTATAACTAAACATCTTCTGTCACTTCTGTGAACATGTGAATGTTCACATGTGTGTGAAACATTCAAAGAACCAATTTTGTGGATGTTCTTGTTCAGATGTGGTAACTTTAAAGTGCTACCACAAGCAAATCAATAAAATTAGTATATTGTTTTTTAATTTTAAGAATTTTTAACTTATTTTCACTATTTTTGGTCCAGTGAGGCAGCGAAAGATATTGGTAAAAAGTTATGAGATTTTGAATATTTTTTAACGATTTGTATTTGACATTTTCCCACATTACTACTAAAAAAAAAAGATTTAAAACTCTTAAGATTTTTCGAAGTGCTCAAATATATACAAATTAGAGTTTATGTTATAGCTGTTGTTATACGAAACCATATCCATTGTTAATATCTGTTAAAACTAACAAACTTTTTGTTTGCACTACGAAGAAAAAAAGAAAAAAAATATTTCCTGTTTTAAAAAAAATTAAGGTTTCAGTATGATGTCATGATTTTAATGTGATAATTGCGACTGAAACATGCTTCGAAATATATATCTTAAGATAATTTTGCCAAATCGGGCATTTTTATTCCAAAAATTGCTTCATACTTATTTTAATCCGATTCCAATTCAAAACAAATATTTTTCAGGAAATAGATATTTCCCCGCAAATATTAACTTTTGTAACAAGTAATAAATAAATTGTATTTAATTCAGAATCAAAAAAATTTAAAACTTTTTTTTTTTTCCTAATTTATTCTCCAAACTAAAACCAAAATTAATGAAAATTGCTTTTAAAAATTCATTCTTTTTTCCCTTTTAAGTGGAAGCGCTATTGGTTAGGTCCAAACTACATGAAGGAGGGTGTTGCTGGAAATGACATTGGAAGATCAAATATCCCAGACATCAGAGTGTCTTATCGGTATGAGACTCTAGTGGAAGAATTGTCTACCATCTCATATTCTACCTTACTGATGTGAAAAAGAGCTTATAAATATTTTTAGTTCATTGCTTTATATTGGACTGTTATTTGGATTATAATTAAAATATATAATTTGAAAGAGAGATGGCTCATTTCTGTATTTTGAAGTTTAATAACAAATGATAGAAGCAGGGTTGCAACAGAAAAAAATTAAACAAAATAGTTGCTTTAAGCATGAAAAATTTATCAAATATATGACTAAAGTTTTATTAAGTGACTGGTCATATATCATGATCCATTTAGCAGGGCTGATTGTGCTCCGGAAAAAATCCGGATTTCCGGATTTTTTGCTAGCAGTAATCAGGAAGTTTCCGGAGATCGAAGGTCCAGACGTTTCAAAAAATCATTGATCACAGAAGTTTCCGGAAATCAAATTTTCATAGGTGGAACTTAAAAACACAGTTTATTTATAAAGGAAAGCCAGAGAGATACTTTATAAGCTTATATTCGTGATTAATATTTATTTTTATCAGTAAATAGTTATTTTAATCAAACTCAAGGAAGAAAGACATATTTGTAAATTTTAATTACTTCTCCAGGTCCCCATAAGTATGTGTAAATGGTATAGGTATATGTAAACTAAGAAATATTGAGAAAAAGGGGGAAAAAACCTTGTTAAAAATTTTTTTTAATTTATCCCATGCAGCATGAAGGAGCAAATAAACGTTAAAAATACGTTCGTTCGGTATAAGATTTTGGACTTAACGTTAAAATTACGTCAATTTCACGTGATGATTTTCACCATTTCTTCATTCGTTAAAACGTATGCGTTAAAATGACGGTATTTTAACGCTATCAATTTTCCCTTTAAATATTTCGTTAAAAATGAGTACTAAAAATACGTTATATTAACGTGTACATTTTACCCATTTTTTTACCGATTTTTAAAAACGTTTTATTAACGAAAAAGTTACGCTTTGTTGCATAGTTATGTTTACGTTAATTTTTTGGGATTATAAACGTAAATTCAATGGTAAAAATGTTTCTAAAAAAGAATGTGAGTGCCCAAGAAGGATATTATTTTACGTCTCTCTTAAATTTGAATAAACTGAACAGTGTAGATTTTTATTACAATTTGTATTCTATTTTTAAATACTTATAATTATTTTTGTTTATTTAAACTGGAGATAAATATTTGTTTGTTGATAATATTGAGTCTGCTCATTGTCAATAACTGACAAGGAAACTATGAGTTTTAATTCTTATGAAACTAAACTAAGATGAAATTAAAGAATTTCCAAAATACTGAATAAAGTAAAAATTTGTTACAACTTGTCATGTAACGAACATAATAACGTAAAAACACATGATTTAAATTTAAATCTTCTTTGTCAGGTACAAGAGTCGTGGTGTAGTGGTTAGAGCGTTCGCCTCAAAGGTACGTTGTTGTAGGTTCGGTCCTACTCGGAACTTCGGTGGAATGTTGAGTTCCGGATCTTGCAATTTTTTTATTCAAAGATCATAAATTAAAAGACTATATATTTTTTTAATTATGTAAAAATTAATTCTCTTTTTTTTATATTGAAATTATCGCTCTCCATATGAGTTTTTAAAAAATAATTATAATAAATTACAAAGAAATTTATCTACTTTTAAATTCCATGTTCTTATTGCAATGAAAGAAGCATTTACTTTATTTTAAAATAATGATTTAATGTTTTTTTGTATCGCCTAAAAAATGTATCAATCTTGTTTCTTTAAAGTAGTATATATATTCATTACTGAAAGAGAAAAAAAGCATACGTATCAAAAGACAGATAAAAAGGAATTCTCATAATTAGTTTTCGTAATAAAATTTAGTGTAGGAAGTTTTAAAATATTTGTTGTTNTAGGGGTTTGGAAAATCATGTAAGTATTGAGTAATTTTTTCTCCTACCAATTCTTTATATTACAAACTTTTAGGCATGAAAAATTTAAAAAATTCCTGAGAGACATGAAACTTCGTAAATAAACTAGTATGTTGCTGTGAAGAGGTAGAAAGATTTGCATTCCATATTCGTTGAGTTATAATTTGAATTGTAAAAATTTACAGAAAGTGTGAGATTAAAAACAAAAGCTTTTTCTAGGATTCTAAAAAAAAAACATGAATATCGGCTATTTTCCGTTATTTTAGTTTTAGTTCGAAAAGAATTAAAAGTTTTTTTTTAAATAAAAAGTAAATGCTATATTTTTTAGTGTAATTAGTGCAGCGTAAACATTAAAATACGGAATGGTTTCTTCCCTTCTTAGTTAAAAAAAATTAAAATTACGTTAAAATTGAAATTAATTTAGTTAAATTTACGCGAAAAGTTTATTAATTCACCTAACTCAAAATAAGGGTTAAAAATATTGATAATAATACGTAAATTTTACGGATTAAATCCGTTTGTATTTTGGTTAAAATAACGTTAAATGTGCGTTATTTTAATAAAAATAAGCGTTAAAAACACGTAATTATTCATGGTGAAAGAAACGAATTTATAGAACCAAAAATAAACGTAAATAGTTGGTGAAAAAAGCGTAAAATATGCGTTAAAAAAGAAACCTGCTTGGTTAAAATCACGTGAAAAATTGGTCACGAAATTCACCTTGGTCAAAATAAAGGCAAAAATCCGTCATTTTTACGTTAAAAACAGCCCAAATATTAACGTTTTTTTAACTAATTCTAAACTACCACTTGAATCGTAAATAAAACGCTTTGAAAAAACGTTTTTTTGCTCTAAACCTTGTGGCATTTTAACGTTATTTTCACGTAATTAATACTTATCTCTGCTGCATGGGATTGTTTTTTTTCAACTCTGAGAAATTTTCCAGAATTTTGACTTGGGCTCGCAATCACCCTTGATTTAGTAAAGTTGGTGGCAAATATGATAATATAAACGTTAGTGTTCTGGCACTAATTTTTTTATATTTGCAGAAAATTAATTACTAGAATTCATTCGAACAAAAAAATTTTCATTTTTAAAAAAAAAAAAAACACTTTTCTGAAAAAAATTTCCCTTTTATCAATAATTGATTTAGCAAATATATGTATGTATATATACCATATAGGTTTTCAACCAACTTTACGCTAAAAAATATCACAAGGAGTACAGAAAAGTCTCTTAGTTACATTTTAGTACACTATGGCAACCCTGTTAGCAAGCTGTAGTATTTTAGTTGTACAGTAAGTCAATAAATTTCCTTTACACGATAAGCTGTTGAGATATATATATTTCATTTTAAAGATTTATTTTCTAATGGATCAAACAAAATAACTAACAATAAAATAGTTAATTTTTTTTAAAGTTTAAAATGGTTAGCATTACATCTTTTTATTTCTTTATAAGTGGCATCAATAATTAATAAACAAATAATACACTTAATAACATTTAGTGGTTTTAATTACAAACAATGTTACTCTTACAATATACTCTAACCCATTATTATCTATTTTATAAAATCCATGTGAAAGTTATGTCAGTTATTTTCTGACAAAGTGAGAACTTTTTTAATAAGAGTTCGGACTGACTGATCAAGTTTTATATTGTTATATAATGCTAGAAAACTAAAGAATGACAAAAATATCATGTCTACAATTATTTATCTACATAAATGCTTTTTTTCTGAATCTTAGATTCAATATCTTAATTTATTTCTCAAAATTGTCACTTTTTGAGTTGTCATTTAATGTGTAGCTCAATTAGTATATTAAAAACCAATTTTTGCACATATTTTTCTTAATTTGTTTTAAAATTTTCATCTAATTTAATGGTTTAATATTAAATGAAATATAGAAATAAAGGGATTTGAAACACTGTAACAAAAATATTTTCATATAACAATTTCTTTTATTTATATAGCTAATAAAAACTTTTAAACAACAAGCACTCAAAATATTTAGGACTTATAATATTCTTGCAAAACTTGATCCGTTGGCCTCAAAATACATTTCTCAGCTAAATTAACCAACCAGCCAGGCTCTAATCCTAGAAATATCTGTCTTGGATCTTTGCGAATGGTAAGCATATCATACTGCATAAAAAAAAATAAAAAACAATGAGCAATAATAGTAAAATCGTCAGTGAAATAATAAAATAAACAGAAATTGTTGTTTGTGTTATTCCTTAAAATCTTTTAAAATGATGTTTATAAACGTTCACTTCTTCATATTTTTTGGTCGCTATTAATTAGAACAAATTGGTTTAAATAAATAGTTCAATGCTATTATCAAACAGTGTTAACGTTGTTGTCAACCATACTCAGGGGCGAAAACTTTCCACTCTTTTGGGGGAAATTTCTTCAAGTGGTAGCTAAGTTAATGTTTTAAAGTATGATTATCTGTTTTGTTAATTTGATAAAAATTTATTATCCACACCATTACATGTAATGATTCAAAAGTTCATATGAAAGGCCACTTTGTTTCAGCTATTTCGTTCTGTGGCATTTAAAATAAATTTTTAAGTGTCACCCACACAATAAAATATTCTATATTTGGCAGCCTTGAATCTCCAGCCAGAAATCTCTCCCATATTGATAAAATTTAATGCTAATCACTGATGAAAACTTAAAAGATTTGAGGAATATTTTATAAGAAAAAAATATATACAGTCAAATGCCATTTTAGAGAAATCTGAAATTGCAAAAATTTCAATGTAATGAATATTTTCCAAATCTCCATAGAAACAAAGAATTAAAAACACCGATATTATGAAATTGGTAATCTGATTTAACGAAGGTGGAAATATGCAACGATCTTCATTTTCTCTCATGATCAAAACACTTTTCAAAAGTAGACAATGATCTCAGAATTCAAATATTTATGCATCTTCAAAATAAAATGTTTCAGATATGAAAGGGAGATGTCAAAAAAGACTAAACCCAAACCCATTCATGTTTGAAGAAGTAAAAATACATGTGGCTTTGTAAAGGAGTGAGAAAAATTCCAATGTAACAAAATAATTTTGTTACATTGGAATTTTGAACATTGGAATATCGATATAACGAATTTTCGTTATTCCCTAGGAATTCGCTAAAATGGGATTTGACTGTATTGTATACATAAAGAAGAAAAAGGGCATTTTTTACTAACATCTGGATCTTTCGAGATATCTGGGAGCTCATAACCATACTTTTGCGCCAGGGCTAATCTTTCATCCGCTATCTTTTCTGGATCAGCTAAGTAACCTCGGCATTTGGGATCGGTGTAAAACTCAACCGCATCCTCGGGAGGGAGCTTTCGAAATGGAATCGGATGACCTATAAAAAAAAAAATAAATGTAATTCCAAACTAACATAATAAAATATGGCAAAAAGTTATATTAACTCAATTAAAAAAATGCCTAATAAATGATTTTAAAAGATTCCCAAGATACACATGAGTTTGTATTGAATTAATCAAAATTTATTTAATCGAGTTATAAATAAATTTTATTATGGAATTTTATCCAAATGGTTATAACGGAAAATGAAAGATATTGATTAATTAAGATAAATTAATTCCTTATTTAAACATTTTTAGCATAACACAAATGGTTATTAAACCTATTTGACTGGAGTAACAAATAGGAGAAAGGTTTTTCTAAAAAAGGGAAAATTTTAACAGTTGTTTGAAGGAATTTTTCGATTGACCAGCAAGAAACAGAAATACATAAATAAAAACAAGTGATAAATTATTTAAAATTCATGTGAGAAATTATTTAAGAAAAAATTCTTTTAATATAATTAGTAAAGCAAAATTAATCCATTACGGTCCTGTTAGTTTGATTTTTTAAATAATATTTCACTCAATAATACTGATTATAGTAAAATCAACTGGAAACTTATTTACAAAAAAACTGCCCCAAAACATTTTTTTATTAAAAAAAAATGTAATAATTTTTAAAATTTAGAAACAATGCAAAATTCACAAAAAGTAATGAAATCTATTACGTAAAAGTAAAAAATAAAGCATTACACTTATAATATTGGGAAAAACTAGACTTGAAATTATCCCAAATATCAATTTTTTTTTTAATTATTTAAATAAAATTGCAATTACATTTAAAACAATAATGTTGGTCACTTAGAAAATAATTGTACAATAAAAATAAATGATTCATGGTACAGAATAAAATAATAACTTTTAAATAATGAAATAAATTGTTCAATTTAAAGATAAAAGATATCACTGCATCTTCTAAGGTTGAACACAAATCAAGCTATTGATAAGGCATCTGATGTCAGATAACTTTAAATCCAGCACTCTCATCACTTGAGTACTAATTTTTATGTGGTATTTATTAGATAAACAAGTAGCCGTACAATCCTTTAATCCATCAAACAAATTTTCTACTGATAAAATGTGTGAACAGGGATCTGTCCTGAGCAAATTTACTACCGTTTAGCGATGCCTTCACAGCGAACTTTACGAAAAACGGTAGTTTTACAAAATAATTTTGAAAATGTAAGTTCTAAGATTCTCTTCCCTGCATCTTAAAAATTTTGTTTTTTTTTTTGTACTATCTGATAACAAAACAATATAAAAACTATTAATCCTGGGTTAATTGCAAATTTTGATTTGCAATGGAACACCCCTGTGGATAGCTATTAAGACGTAGGTTCCTACGTTCCTTAATTGAGGTGGAAGAAAAGGCACTAATACCATGCAAACCCTGTTCATGTATTTTGTCAGATAGTATGATATGGTAATCCTAACCGATCGCTTAAGCCATTTATATTGAGCTTTTTTATCGCTGAGTTTTTTTTTATTTTTTTTTTAATGAAACGACAAAGCTCTCCCTCTGTAAACTTTACAGGAAGTTGAAATTCAAACCATTATTTTAAACATGATTTTAAATTTATTTTAATAGACTAGGGGTGCACAACCTTTTTGAGTGAAGGGCCACTTGCACAGCAGTTTGGCTAACGAAGGGCCGCACATGTATTTAGACATGTTAATGACAAATGTAGTAATGTTTATTTAAACATTAGCGCTCCATTTTTTTTATCAATAATCTTAGTAATATCAATAACTTAGTAGTGTTCCATTATTTGAATTCATTCAAAAATAAAAAAAACTTATACTTTTTTTTTTCAAAAAAAAAACTTGCTATTTTCATCATATGAACAATAGATTTATCAAAATAAATAAACATTGAAGAAAAGAAATATTTTTTTTTTACATATCATGCAATATGAAAACTCATTTTAGAATTAAATTCTAATAAATTAAAAAAAACTGCAATGCCCACAGAATGAAAGTAGGAAAAAGTTTAGTCGTAATTAAGTAATATAAATTCAAATTAAATATTTTAATTGAAGAAAATTTATAGGTTTTAAACAAAAGCCTAAAATAAAAACAAAACTGTGATAGTTCAAAATAAAATTCAATGCTTATTTTGTAATGTACTTTATTATTTTATTTTATTAATTATTAGATTTTTTATATCGTAAACATTTTCCTTTTTTTTATCGAAAAAGATCACTTAAGCAACAAAAAATTGAAATCTAAACTACAAACAGTGAGCAGTTTAAAAATTCACGTTTTCCGCCATTTTATGAATTTCTCAAGTTGCAATAACATTGCATTTAAATTAGGGAGGGATGTAACGAGTATTTGGCCCTTCTGTGAAAAATTCAGTTGGTTGAATGATCAGTCAAATATTTGGCAGAATATTTTTTAGAAATGTATTTTTCTAAGTTTTTTTTATTTTTGAATTTTTATAGATATTACTTTTTTTTTAAAAATTATAATCAGACAAGTCAATTTTGTCATTTTTTCGATACTTTGAGAATTGAGAAGGATCCATTTTTTGCAGTTTTTATTATAACCCAGCATTTTAACAGAACGTCTCATACTATTAATTTATTATCACTCTTTCCCTGTACTGTAATATAAATAACCAGTAACATAGAAAAGTGTGATTTTCAGTATTAAAGTTTTGTTTCAGGAACTAAGAAAAATTTGTTTTTTCTGTTTTTCTTTTTTTAGGCATTTTTATTATGACTCAGCATTTTTTTTAAAAATAAAGTTACTAATAAAATTTATTTTATAGCAATTTTTTTTCTTCTAAAATTATGGCAATGAGAAAAATTTAAATTGAGATTTTCGGCATAAGATTTTCACTTAAAAAATTAAGAACATTTTTTCTATCTTTTTATTTTCTTTAAATAAAAAAAAAACTTTTTTTAGACGTTTTCATTATAACGCAGTAATTTTTAATAGCATTTCTGTTGACTTAATTCTTTTTTCTTGGCTTTTTCTGGTAATTGAAAAATTGAGATGTTCAGCTTTAAAAAAAATTTTCAAAAATTAAGATTGATTTTTACTCTCTATAGACTCTGTTTCGCTTTTCGACATTTTCAAAAACGTTCTTGATTGGCCTTATTTTTTAGAGTTAATTAACGTTTTTCCAGGAAATATTATTCTGAGCATTGAAATTTTAGTTTCAGTGTTGCTATACTGCTAAAAGATTTTGCTATTTGGCCCCAAGTGAACGGCGTTCAATAGATTTTTTCTTCTTCTTTTTGCCGAATATTTGGTTTTTGATCAAATCACAATTCATTACCACATTCGACCAAATCATATTCGTTGCGGAAATAAAAAAGAAGGAAAAATAACTAGGATTTACGATAAAACTGTACGGTAATACCGTATCAAAAAGTGATTATTTAATTGCGTGATTAACAATCACGTGTCGTAATAACATCATAGTTAAATAACGGGATCGTCAAAATCACGAGGAAAAGTATAGAAATAATTAGGAAAAAATATATTTATGCTGAACTCAGCACAAATAAAGCGCGTCAAATGCATGATTTAAAATTTGCATGTCGTAACAGAATAATTGGAATTTTTTATAATACGTAGGAACGCATAGCAATAACTGCCGAGAAAAATTTTTGAAGAAAAAGAAAGAATTGCAAAAAAAAAATAGAAAATCACTTAGATTTAAGATGAAATCGTCACAAATAAAGTGCCCAAAAAGTGATTATTTAAATTTGCGATCTGAAACTCGCGTCGTTATAAAAATTCGGAATTTTCAAAATCACGTAGAAAAGCGGAAATAACTGTTTAAAAAAAATCATTTATATTTACGATAAATTCGGCTTCAAGAAAGCGCGTTAAACGTACATTTACTAAAGAATCTGTTAAAATTGATTGTGTCAAAACATGATGACTTAAAAGTGCGATTAAAAATTGCCATTTTTTAAATTTTTTTTAATTGTGTTTAGAAGCACTCGCGAGCCGCACTTCAGTAGTAGAAGGGCCGCATTTGGCCCGCGGGCCGCAGGTTGTGCACCCCTATAATAGACCTTTACTTTTTCTATGAAATTTTCTTTTTTGTATGACCCAGTTGAAACTGTTCTCATAATGAAAATAACTTTTAGTGATAGTTCTGTTAAATGCCTATTTTTATTAAGTTCAAGATGAAATTTAACTATGGACAATGACTTTTATGGATTTTTAAACTTGGATACAATACAATTTTAAACCCAAAATTTTACAATAGCAAAACTGTTTTTGAATGTATGAGGGAAAATGTATAGAAATTTACCAGTTTAATAATTTTTATTAGTAGTGACAGTTTTTGAAAATATTTTCTTACTTTACCTTATTTATGCGTTAATTTTTTAATATAATTTTTAATTTTCACAAAATAGGTACCTCTTAAAAAAAAAAAACTAGACAGACTCCTGTTGAATAAAAAGAACTCAAGAAGTAAGAACCTTATAGAGGTATATGAATCAGAGATTAGAATCCAATAGTCATCAAACTAGTAAGGAGTCTTCACATACATGTTATCTGCTACATTTTAGATTTTCAAATTTGGGACTTTCCATGACTATTCCAAGAATTTTTCATGACTTAACGAAGTTACTATTTTCTCCAACAAAAAAAAACACAACAATACATTTAAAAAAGCATTATAATAACATTAATTTAAATGATAGGTATAACCATAACTGCTATACTCTGCATCTTCATATTTGTAGATTTTAAATTTAAAAAACAGAGTAAAAAAAGAGTTGAAGCAGTAAAATAGTTGACGAAAATACAAAAGCAAAAAATATTTTCTTTTTCTCTGCAGAATTATATTCCAAAGATACTTTTCTTGTTTATCAGAAAGGAAAGAAATACTCCTGATTTTTCTGTTCTCAGTGTGGAATAAAAAAAATCGCCAATGACTGGCTTGCTTCAGCTAGAATTTTAAATTGATAAAATAAATAAGAGTAACAAAAAATCCGAAATCACAGAAGTTTAAAAGATAATTTGTTCTAGAAATGATTTATTTATTTTTTTCATTTTTTGAAAGATCATAATTTTAGGAAAGCATGCTAAAAACATTTTATTATTTTGAAAAAATATGACCGTGAGTGGGGATTTTGTTACTTACTCAGATATTCGGAACACCATGAAATTGAATGGGGGGGGGGATTCCATTTTAAAAATTAGATTTTTTGTCAACCTAAATCCATAACTTTCCATCATTTTTTTTAAAAAAAATAGTAAACTAATGACATTTTATGACAAATTTTGTTCAACACCGAAATTCATGACTTTCCAGGTTCGCCGATAGCCAGCACATAATACTAATGTGAAACTTTCACATTACAAAATTTTACTTTTCTTTCTTTACCTTAATTTTATTTAAAAATAAAGCAAAACAAAGTAAATAAAAAAATACAGAAATGGATATAAAAAAAATACAGAAATGGACAAAATAATTTTGGTTCTAGTAACAAGAACTCTTCTCAGTGTCTTAACACTACTTTGAGTTTAAGGCATCAAGGAAGGTTCTTGCATATAGAACCAAAACTAGAGTATGTCTATTTCTGTACCTTTATTTGTGCTTTATTCATGTTGTTTTGTTTCATTCATATGTAACTCAAAATATTGCCAATCATCATTTGTAGGTGGTTCTGCCCTGGCTTAAAATTTCAAATGGGTTTAAAATTACCAAGTTTCACCGGTGAATGTTATTGTTTTAAACTCACAACATGGATAGGAAAATGTACAAAAATTATAAAATTCAAACACATAAATAAACTCAGTCTAAAATTTCAGTATAACGAGACAATAAGAAAAATACCTCTTTCAAAAAACTTTTGAGGATTAACTTTGGCCAATACGCTATCAATGTCGTAATATGCATTGATTATAGTGCCTCCATTTCTTTCAATTGCGGCTATTACTGTTTCTTTTGCATGTTGCACTTCAATGTTTACTTTAGCTGTGAAACAATCTGCACCCTATAAAAGAAAAAAAAGTTTATTTCCATCAGTAAAAAAAAAATCAATTACAGTAAAGCAATTCAAAAATTGTTACTCCAATAGCTCCCAGCATGGGAAAAAAAAAAGGTTTTAAAAATAATACATAATTTTATGTGAATTATTGAGCAATATCATAGAATTAGCACATAGGAATTCATTATATTGAGTAAAAGGAAATGAATTATAAAAATTACACCAACTTTAAGTCTAATTTAGCAGCTATATTTTCTGATTATGAAGAGTTTAAAAAAATTTATAATAATTTTTTTACTAATGAAATTTTCCTAATTCTTGTACAGTATTACAGTCAACCCCGCTTAAAGGAATACCATCGGTTCCAGCCAAATCTATGCAATTAAGCGGGTTATTCGATTAAAAGGGCAGTGCAATATTCCTTCTTAAATTCTGAATTTTTGCACAATTTTACTTTTTAATGGTATTTAATGCATAGTACAACATTTTGATTAAATAAACTCAGTTTTATGATCAATAAACAATTATAATTAAAACTGTTTGCGTTAGTATCATAAAATATAAATGCCATGTAAAGTTACATAAAAATAAATGAATGTTAGTGAAAAGTAGTATATATGTGCTAAAATATTATTTGATCCCTTTCAAAAATTCCATAACATAAGACTATTTTTTTATACCTTTTTAATTCATCAATTTATCAAAATTAGACATTCCTTTTTAATTTGTACTAAAATTTTCATGACTTGTGCATACCTATTCCTTTCAAACACACTAAGATTTTTTTTTTTTTAATCTTCGAAACTTGAGAAATTCCAAATTAATGTGATATTTTAGTTAAGGATTTCTTGAAATTTATTGTTTCTAAGATTCATTGTTTTGCTTTTTTCTGGCTAATTTAAATCATTCCTTTTTGCTCTCAACTTGCAACCAATTCAAAGTTATTCACTGGATTAAGCAATTATTCTATTTAAGAGAAAGACACTCTGTACACTAGTGTGTTATATTTTGGAAACTTTTTCTTATCAAAGCTAACATGCATCAAGTGGGGACCACAAGACAAAAAATCACTCTGCCTCTTTTTTACATTCTAAATTATGTGTGTGTGAAGTAAGTCAGAGGGGTAAAACCCCCTTTGTTTACTTCAATGTATAAAACTGGCAGCAAGATTTGATTAATTTTTTTAACTTTACCCCAAACACCTACTAATAAATAAGAAGTTCTTTTTGAAATGACCACCTATTGCATCCTTAAATTAACTAAAAAAGAAAAATTCAATTTTAGCTGGTGACACATTTCTCAAAAATAAAATAAAAATTTAAATTTCAGTACCACTTTATGCAATTAGGGGGTGGCAAAAAACAACAAAAAACCATTTAAATGGGGAAGTTTAACATTATTTTCACATAAAATGATTCGGTTCCATTAAATTTTATTCGTATAAGCGAACTACTCGATTATGCGATTAAGTGGGAATGACTGTACTATATATTTAACTTATATTTAGATAATGGTTAATTTAAACTTAAAAACATATTCTTGAATATCATATTGGTTATAAATTTTCATAATAACAAAAAGTAAATCTTAAGTATAAGATTTGAAAATAAATAAAAATTACGAAATTTAAAGAAAATGCTTCTAACTTATCAAATACCTAAAATTACCTATAAAACTATGTATTATCATCTTAATGATAACGGGAGATAATATACAAAATTTTTAAGATGATTGAAATAAAAAATTATGATTTAAATAAAAAAAATAGTTTGATAGAAATTAGAGATTTGATAGAAATGATTAGAAGAATTAAAAAAAAAACATGAAAACTAGAAGAATTTTTTATTAAATCAGCAGACCAGTACAAATTCAGAAATGAGAGTGATTCACTGAAAAATCCAGTCAAGTTTGTGGCTATAATCCTTAGTAAAACATAAACTTATGTTCAATCAGCAATAATTATTGTTCAGAGACGTTAATTCTTACCAAACAGGAATAATTTACCATTTAAATTAAATAAACTTGCTTGGATGGTATCAATAACACTAATACAGCATTAAAAAAATTTTTTTAGAAAACTTCAAAACTATAAATCATAGTCAACTGATTAGGATTACCTTTATTTATGCAAAGGGATTATAAAAAATTTCATTCAGAATAATATTATCAAAATTCTTGCAAAAGCATTAATAAATAGTATACATAAGGGTCTGGGATACTCTTTATAAAACAAAAACAAGATGTACTTGGCCAATGGAAAATAAAAAATGTACAACTTAAGTATAGAATTGAATAATCTGCTAATGACTATCTATTCATTATCAATTATATAAATATATTTTAACAGCTTATGTTCTTATAATAATGTTTTAGCAGCATTAAAAAACTTTCTATGTAGTATAACATAATTCGAACAACTGAATGTAAATACCTTAGAAAAAAAAACACATTAAACACTCGATAAAACTTTTAATTCTTAAAAAAGAAAAGAAAAATTAGCAAGTAAATATTAAATTTATTTTATAATTGCCATTGATGTTATCAATTGTAACGCCATAGCCTCAATATTTGAAATTTAAAAAAAAATTCAAAATGGAAACCTCGAATCCAGCATTCAGAAGAACAAACCTCTATGGAAGACTTTTTAAATAAATTCAAACCCACATTTGTATTATAAAAGGAAAAACCTCCACAGTCAGTTCAAAGGTAGAGGAGCTTTAATTACTAATTTACAATTGATGATATTTTACAACAACATTCTATCATTTATGCAATCGAATAACAACAAACAATAACTAAAACTTTGACTTAATCAGGGTACATAGTCAAATCTTTCAACAAAAAATAAGCACTATGTACATTAACAAAAAGCAAAATAAGTTTCTACTTTACATGATATGATAAAATAACCAGTTTCTGACAAAGAACTCTTTTATTGATTATATTAGCCATTATAAAATGAGCAAGAGACTTTTTGGTCTGATTTCAGAGGGTGAAAAATGGAGAATATCTTGCAAAATGCAGCAAAGTCGCACATGAGAATGATAGAATCTCACCTAACTCACCTCAGTAGATGCGAACTCGCAAGTATTTCATCAAACATGTTAAATGATTGGCGCTTTCATAAGCTATGGACCAACAGTATGCCGAAATGAATTGTGAAAATATCGAATAGAACAATATGAAAAGCACGCTTTTGGCGTAAATCAACAAACGTGGCGAAAATCAACATGGTAAAGAAGGAGAAAAAATCTCATTTTCGAAAAGGAAAAATTTTTTAAAAACATTTAATGGAAAAAGCACCTTTATGGGCTTTTAAAAAAAACCAAAATCGAAAAGAAGCACCTTTTAAAAACGCTATGGACCGTGTTAATCCTCCTAGCTACCTTGGTTTCTCAACAGATGCATTTGTGAATTTTTCAGCAGCTGAAGTTTGAAAAAAAATTAGGTTAGTAGGTAAAATTAAATAAAATACATAAATTAATGATCTTACTTCATCTGTTAAATGTACACCAAAATGTTTTTCAAATGGATAAATTTTATAGAGTTGTGTATTACAAATAGAAGTCAAATCTATTGGTTGAGATGGGTCCACTCTTCCAGTATCGATCAAAAGTTGTAGCTGCTCAAGACTAACAGGTGGATACTGACGTCTCAAACTAAAAAGAAAATAAGACATTCTTACTACTTATCAAATCGGTGCAAAATATTTTGTAAAGAAAATTATTTGTACAATGAAAAAACAATTTTTCTGCAAAAATTCAGTTTTTTGATCAATTAACAACTTCCTGTAGCTCACAATCAGATCAAATTTTAAGAGGTTGTAGAAAAAACCTACAACTAACATAAAAATTAAATGTTTGGTAACTGTTTATATCACTTGTTTTATTGCAATGCAACTTCTGTTCATTTACATATTTTTTATTTTACTACTAGGGGTTTTAGATTGCACATATTTTTATTTCTTAACCATAAACAGGCTTAAAATTAAAAATTATCCAATTTAAATTCTATACTTTTAACTGTATTAACATAGATTTAATTTCCAAGTCACAGAGGTTGAATGTTTGTGCCTCCTGATATTTGATTTTTGAATATTTTGCCAAATTTCCAGAACTATTTAAAAGAAAATATATTTGTAAACCTAATTGTAAAAATTTGATTAACCAAAAATAACTGAATATAACAAATAATTTTTAAATAGTAAGGTACAAAAATATTTACATAGTTTTAAACCATGTAATTTTAATGAACAAAATGCATAAGTTGAATCAAATCAGGTGAGTAGTTTTTGGGAAAGGAAAATTTCAAAAAGTACCGTATATTCCGGCGCATAACGCGCACCCGTAATTTCTAATAACTTTTTTTAAATTTTCCTACTCTTCGTATAACACGCACGAAAATTTCGATTGTACATGTGCAATATCTCGTCTAGTATCAATAGAAAACCAGAAAGCCTTTTAGTGTGGGACATGTTTAGGTCCCACCTAACAGATAATACAAAAAAATTGTTGAAAGAATGTAACACCGATATGGCAGTTATTTCGGGCGGATTGACACCATTAGTTCAGCCATTGGACGTCTGCTTAAAGAAACCATTTAAAGCCAATTTAAAAAAACAGTGGAACACTTGGAAGTTGGAGGGCGAGAAAACCTTTACAAAAGGAGGACATATGCGTCATGCAAGTTTGGAAACAGTGTGCGAATGGATATTAAAAGTATGGGATGAAATTAAGCCTGAGATGGTTAGAAAATCATTCAAAAAATGCAGCATTTCAAATAATCTGGACGGATCAGAAGATGACTGTTTATTTATGGATGAGGGTAACACAGATGATGAAGACGAAACAGATTGTGATGACGTGCCTGAAGAAATAACGGAAGA